CATCGGGGTTTCACGCCCAGCTTCCTGCAACTAAATGCAAAACAGGTCATGCGTGGCCATGCGAGCTCATGCGTGGTCATGATTGGTCATGCATGCTCATGCGTGGTCATGCGTGGCCATGCATGGTCATGCGTGGACATGCATGCACATGCGTGGTTATGAGTGGTCATGCATGTTCATGCGTGGTCATGCGTGGTCATGCGTGGCCATGCGTGTGTCATGTGTGGACATGCGTGCTTATGCATGGTCATGAATGGTCATGCGTGGTCATGCATGGTCATGCGTGGCCATGCATGCTCATGCATGCTCATGCATGGTCATGCGTGCTCATGCATGATCGGATCGTGTTTGCGCATGCGTGCTCATTAGTGTCGAAACAGCTAAGTGCCATCCTGCAAAGGAATCGCTCTTGCCAGCGCATGCATCACTCCAGCCATGTTGGCATCCTGCCAAAAAAATGCAGCCACAAACCAAATCGAAAATGACACAGCATGTGCACTTGTGGCTAGAGCCCTGTGTGTCCTGAGACATGGATTCGATCACATTTTCTTCAACCTAAAATCAGCACCAAGAAACTCTTTGGATACAGTGTTGCTGTACTTTTGAAAATGCCACTTCTAAGGCCACAGCCCCAATGCGTCGGAGAATGGCTTCCCAGTTGCAGGGATCATCCTAAAGGGAAACGCAAAACTGATTCACCCTACCCACACAGTCACAGGCTCATCTCTCAGATCCTGACTGGGTTCAAATGAAGAGGAGGAGCTACGCGTGCCTTCGCCGACACTTCCTGCCAGCAAGTTGTACATGCATTGAGGTGTTAGCTCTTCAAGAAATTTTATCCACGGCCTGGCCTTGTCAACATTGTCTCGGCTTCTTTTTCCCCTATTTGCCATGAGTGGAAACAGCTACGGTTGAGGCCATCACATAAGCGAAAGTACAAACACGTATCCAAGATAACACAAGAGTACGATGACATTTCCAGCCCTATGGTGGTGTCTCACTACTGTAACAATAGCACTTAAGGGCACTGAGCTGGCGATCAAGCCATCGTCGACATCATGGCGATGTACCTTCATGACACATGCGAAAATACCATTGGATCTCAGCAACAGGTCGAACTTGAACCGACTCAGGCGATACTTTCTCACCAAGAAGGATAATTAAGAGAGGTACATGCATGCTGCTGGGTGCTTCCAAATTAAGTTCTCATGCGTGAAAGTCCATGCGTGCTGGAAGTTGTTCAACATGAAAACCATGCATGCATGAATATAGCCAGACTGCATCATGAACATTTTGAGTTCCACAGCCACATCTTGCCATCCATCTCTGCGGGCATGCGTGTTCTCACGCTGCAGCAGTTGACACGTCTCTACATGTGTGCACCATGTTTGGTGCAAACACGCATGCTAAGCAACGCATGCAAAACCCAAACGCAACGAGCAGAAATCCCACAAGTTGCACCCCGTACTGGCTCCTGCCGGCCCATCACGCCACTACCAGGGCTGAAGCCTACAGAAAGGGAAAGCATGCATGCAGCAAGCCAAACTGTGCAATGCAATCATTCCTGGCTTTTCAAAAAAATTGATTCAAGGAACTTCGCTTCCTCGAATCTTGGCCTCTTCAGCATCAAGCCCTGCTTTGATGGCCGCAAGTCTGGCCTTGTGGTATGCTGTGTCCTTTTTCGACTTCAACTTCTTCTGTTCTGCTGTCATCTTGGTCGACTTGGCTTTGGCCTTTGCTGACGCTTTGGCACGTGCCTTTGGTGCACCTCTGGCTTTCGCCTTTGCCTTCGCCATACCTCTGGTTTTTGCCTTTGCTTTCGCTGATCCCTTGGGCTTAGCCTTCGCCTTTGCACGTCCCTTGGCCTTAGGCTTTGCACTTGCCTTCCCTTTCGCCTTTGCCTGGGACTGTGGTTTGCGACCAGGTCTGGTAGGTGCTGGCAGCCCAGCAGCAGCACGAAGCCAGTGGTCACATTCAGCCGGAGCTTCATCAGCCTAAGTCCATTAAACCATGGCCAGATGGCCAGTGAGCAAGGTCAGTGCCAACATCAAATTTCAAGAGATTCAGGCAAAGTCAAGAAACAGCCTCTCGAAGGTGTTCAGCCGAATCCCCTTCAGCATGGCCATGGGGGAATGGAGCCCCCAAACCATGTCCCATGTCCACATCTTCGTCAGCCCTTTGCGAGCCTTCGTCCATGTCATCACTACATTCACTGCTCACCCCACTAGATTCAGATTCCGACTGTTCCCCAAGAGTTGGTTTCTGTTGTGGGTCTGACAGGTCCACTCCGGGGACAGAAATGCAATCCTCCTTCGTGGGCATGTTTGCATCTTCATGCCCCATCATCTCTGCCACATGCGTCTCTGCGACCAATGACAGGTCAGCAGCTTCCTGCACAGGCGGAAGATCTTCCATCACTTGGGTCTCCACCTGGTCAACACCTGGGAAGCACAGATCTTGAATTTTTAGTTCCCAACCCTTCCAGGAGCAAACATATCTGCACAGCATGCTGTTGCATCTAACAAAATATTTTGAGGGTAGCGCAGACTGCTGGGGGCAGAGTCTCCGGAAAGAACTTAGCGATCTTTGGTACTTTGTCAGCTTTCTGCTGCCTGGACTGCCGAAGCAAGAGCATGAGCTCAAGTTCCTCCATTTCCAGCAGGAGCAGCTGCCGACCTTTCATGCAGCATCAGTAACAATGAAAAAAAATTGCATGCATGCAAACACACTCTCAGCACTGGTGACCAATATTAAATGTCACCCAGCTGCGCTTGTTGTCACGGCAAGTCTTCTCAGGTGTCATCTTGCTCAAGGAGTCACTCCCTGCAATGGGAAGATGAAAACAAATAACAATGCAGCTGCGCACCAGCATACATGAAACAACACATCAAAGCCTGCAGGCTTGGGAGGAGGTGTCACCAAGGTCTCGCCTAAAATTCAAATTCATGGGCATCATTCATGCATGCATGGTTAATCTTTCGAAGTTCGTCCCAAAGCATGACATGCATGTAAGGCCATGAATGCAGTTGATACAAGTGGCTAGTCTTTGCTGGGCTTGCTTCAGACTGAAGGTCACGAGATTCCAACTGGAATTTCCTGACCAGTCCACATGCTTTCTCAGGAACTGTCACTAGATCACCATGCTCCAGGTTGGACATGGCTGAAGCAGCTGGGGCCGGCATGGAAGTAGCAGGCTCCGTAGGCCCCACTGACTTGGCACAGCTTGACCCAGTTGTGGTCAAAGTGTCATCTTCGTCTTCCTGCCAAAAAATCGGCAAACCCAAAGGCCTGAGTCTGAATCCACCATACTAAGCACTTTGCAAGCATCCTGCTGGATGCAGCCAAGACACACTGTCAGAAACGCTTGTGGTCGAGCTGCAGGAATCATCATCTGTGTCAGAATCTTTTCCTAGTACAGTGTGATGAACTTGCTCCCAAAGATCCACAGAAACCTTTCTAACCACAAACGCATGCATCATGAACCCAAGTCCTGGCAAGGGCAAACCAGCGAACTTATAGATCTTGCGGATCTCGGGGCATCGCGGTCGGTGTGGGCGCCTTGAAGCTGCAGTCTGTGACATGCAGCTTATATGGTCATGCATGATGTAATGTATGGTTTGCACATGTAAGCAGGCTGCTTGGCAATGCGAGAGAAGGCATACACCATACGCATTGCGATCTTGGCGTGCGCCTTTGCCCGAATGCCTCTGATGTCTGGCTTTGCACCAACCCCCAAAGAAGTGACACATGCAACCCCCCACTGCTTTCTACTAATTGGATGGCTTTTAATCCCAGGGACTGCAGCACTCCATTCCACGTGGCAATGCCAACGCAAAAAATTGCGAGGAGGCTTGTTCAAACATTGGCAGCGAAGGACGCAGACCACAGTGTTTAATGGCCAAGCCAACCACCGTGGCATTCCTTTTCAAATCACCTGGGCATGCATGATAGTTCAGGAACCTGATCTGAACAAACCATGGAGCATGCATTCACACATGTACACAGTTCTCAGGATGCTACTTCGCTTCAACTTTGTGTTGTTGGACACTTCCACAATGGAGTGTTTCAGGGCCATGGCTTTGATCCCCTCATCGTTGGCCCAAGCCGTGGCCAAAACAGCAGCCTGCTCAAAGTGTGCCATCTGCACACACTGTGAAAAATTTGAGCCAGTTCCTATTCATGCATGTTCATGCATGATCATGCATGAAGACCACGACCGGGATCACAAGTAGGAATGCTGTTCTCATGCATGCATGCATGCATGTCATGAGTCTGAACAAAAAGGAACCGTGAATGCAAATCAAGGTGGGGCACACTGAAGCCACGCAGGCCTCAAATTATGAAAACCATGCATGACATGCACGAAACTCACAAGCTCACCTTTTGAAAAAAGATCTTGCACAAACCACTCTGCACATCTTCTGGGGCAACAACTGCCCATTTCACTCCTGCCATGGTCCCAAATCATGAGCTATATATGTTTGCAAAGTATCACACATGAATGCAGCATTGACTTTTGATGTCTCCTTCTGCCATCAGCCCTAGGCTGTAAGGCTGAGTTCCCAAGGTAGCCAAAAAAAATGCTGTAGAGGCACGGGCAAGTGATGCAAAGATCAACTCTCTCCATCAACATCTGCATACATGTTGCGACTGATGCCCAAATAGATAAAACATGTAGAAACATGTCATAAACATCTGGTTTCAACAAATTCATGGAAAACATGCCCCTTTAAAAAAAGGTGCTCGAATTTTGGGTTGAATAAGAATTCTGCTCGATTGCATTTTTTGTGTATCAAAACTTCGTTTGAGCAAGTTTTTCTGTACCAAAAGAAGGTCTAGGAGACGTATTATTTGTTCAAAGTGTTATTAATGTATTTTGATGTTATCATTTTGTGTTTTGCCTGGGCCTCGACTCTTTAAAAGGCACATGAGGTGCCAGGTATGTGAGGTGCCAGAGGAAATGCAGTGAATTCACAGATCTGAAACAGCAACAGAAGCAGGTGAAGTGTGAGCGCACAGCCGAACTTCTGGCTTCGAAGCTTCCAAGTTCTCCGCATCAGCCAGCTGAAATCTATCATTTGCCATAGTCAGAAACGGGTTTGTCTGAACATGTTACCCCCATTCGTGACAATTTCAGTAGGGAAAATAGTGATTATATAACCATCGAAATTGGTTGTATTCTACTTTTAGACGAACCCAAACATTTTGGCAGGCTTTTCTTTCAGCGTTTGCCAAGAAAGCATGTGACGGCTGATTCCATGTGCATTTGGTTTCAGCCGTTCATTCGTGTTGGATCGCCTCCGTTGCCCAAAGGAAAGGGAAGCCTTGGTGACTCAGATGCAACAACAGATAGGCAGGGATTCGAGGGAGAAGAATGGAAAGGTGATCTATAGATATATCTATATGATATATCTATAGTGTATTTAAACCAGAACGATCATGGTTTAGAAGTTGAGATTAAAGAATGCGCGAGTTCATGAGGCTCTTTGCAGACTTTGCTCCTGTCAGTAGAAGGTAGTGAGGCATCTCACTTGCACACGACATCACACGACCCTTGGACCGAACACCCTTTGTTTAGCAACTGCAACTGCTGCCAAAAGCTGCCGGTTCTGTGCAGGTGGAGCTGATCCAGCTCTTCAGAAAACCATTCCTGCTGGAATCGCCTTTCATCACAGTGGTTTGACCACAGAAGAGAGGAATGTCATCGAACGTGGATACAAAAATGGACACATCAACGTGATTTGTGCCACATCCACCCTTGCGGCTGGAGTGAATCTACCGGCTCGCAGGGTTGTTTTTCAGTCACCCTTCATGGGGAACCAGCTACTGGATTCAACTCAGTATAAACAAATGGCAGGTCGTGCTGGTCGAGCAGGACAAGGAACAATGGGAGAGTCGATCATCATAGCGGCGCCAAACATTAAGAATCAAGTGATGGCCTTGGTCCAACAGCAGCTGCCTCAAGTAGTGAGTTGCCTTCGCAATGAGAAGCGGGGCTTAAAACGCTTCATTCTGGAAGTACTGTGTGTGGTACCACAGCTAGGTGCTGGAGAAGATTTGATTCGATTCTCTTCAAGCACTCTCTTGATGACTCAAGCAGGTTCACCAGATGAGTCCTTGGAACCTGCCCAACGTTATCCAGAAATTGCTGAAGCAATGAAATGGCTTCTGTCACACGATATGGCTCGTTTGGATGAGCGATCCAATGCGTATCGAGCAACGCCGCTGGGTCATGCTGTTTGTGCTTCTGGCTTGGAACCTCCACAAGGACAGCTCCTTTTCCAAGAGATGCAACAGGCCCGAAGCTGCATCTCCCTAGACACTGATCTGCATGTTTGTTATTTGGTGACTCCTGACAGCCTTTTGACCGTCGATTGGGATGTGTACAAGAAGGCGCTTGCTTACCTTTCGGCCGCAGAACGCCGGGTGGCACAACGCATCAAGTTACGTTTGGACTTGGTTGACCAGGCGCAATTCCAAGGGCGCTTGCCCAACAGCACCGTGCAGTCGGTGGACGGTCAGAGGATCATCAGGCAGGAAAACCGCAACAGTGTGGAAGAATGTCCTGGTATGTGCTACCAGCAGAGCAGTATGTTTGCTGAATTAATATGTTTTAGCGCTAATTAGCGCTAATTAATGCTAATTGTATGACTTTATTTGATTCTAAATGCATCGCTCATCCGCAGGGGAAACGCCTTATTAGTCCTAGCAGCTGCGTAGCCATTGCCATCGTATGCACACTGATACACTGCGGCGGACTTCCATCAAGAGAATCAGCAGGATTTGATAGATGTCTACAAGGCTGTACAAAATTAAAATCACGGGGGTTGAGCTCCAAAAACAGGTTCATTTTATACAGGGGTTTCCCTCTGTGGTTGGGCTCCACTGGGGAGGGTTGTGATTCTATACAGGTCTCACGGTGTACTGGAGCCCTGAACAATTTAGCATCTTCCACATCCTTCCACTTTGACTCCAGGTTTTACAGTGCGCTGGTTCTTTGGGCCTTGCTTCATGAGATGCCGGCACCATTACTCTTGAAGAAATTTGCTTTGAGCAAGGGGCAGCTGCAACAACTCCAACAGTCTGCAGCATCCTACACCCACACAGTGGGCGTGTTTCGGCCAGAGAAGAGAGACTTTGATAAGTTATTGATAAGGTGTAAGGACACTATAAGCATTCATGGGGTGCGTACAATATATTAGAGTCTCCCCTCTTTTGGACCGTACACCTTCCTTGTATCTTCTCAGGTGCTTAGGTGTGTTAAGCTTCCTAAACAATCCTAAAGATAGTTGAGGTAGCTCTCACTGACATCTGTAATCTGTGGAGTCTGAGATAGTCTGAGATTCCATGAATTCCTTGAACACAATCTGGAAGATCTGGAAGGGCAAAAACCGAGGCGCATCGCTGTTTCTCAAAAAAACTAGCCAGCTCATGTCAGATGAGCCAGCTGGGTATGTTGCCATTCAACATTACCCATGCTGGAAAAACATATTATATACATATATACGTACATATAGATAGATATAGATATAGATAACATACATACACGACATGACATGTTGGTCATGTTGGTATGGCAGTGTAGATATAAATACATAGTGATAGTAAATTCATACACCCTCACATCAACATGTAATATATAGATTCATGTAAAGATACACGTATCAATATATGCATGGCAACGTGTCACACCATATCTATATAATCTAATATAATTTCAATATACACATAATACACATATCATCTATATATGGGTCTTCCCCTCTTTTGTCAGAAATGTTGAAAACACCGCAGGTATTTTGCAATCGACTTCAGTGGTACACCTTGGAAGCCTTGATTTTGTCCTTCCAGAAGCGCTTGGCCTTGGGGGTGCGCTTGGAGCTGGTCCCCTTGATGCAGATCCCAGGCTGGTGAAAGATGGGGGAATCATCCCAAAACTACAAAAATAACTCAGAAAATAACCGAATTTTAGCTTGGTACTTGGGGATCAATATAATGCCATTTAGAGATATTTACAGGTCTTATTCAACATAGCCTTACATAGCCATATGATATATTAGTCATTATTAATTGCCAATTTTTAGTGACTGAAGTGATGATGAACTTACATCACATGTCATTTCATTGTGATCTGAATTGCTTCATATACAGTGGATAGTGAGATCATGTCCAGAGATAAATTTTGGCACTTTGGCAGAGCATGGTTTCATGATGGCAGACATGACTTTCACTTGTTGAAGACTAAGATATACTTGATTTTGACTCCAGGTATCCAGGCCGAGAAGGCCCGCAAATGCAGCGATTGATCAGGCATGGACTGCTCCGTTGCCCGTGCCCTTTACGAGCAAGGCTTTACTACGCCTGTGTCAGTGGCAGCTGCATCACGAGCAGAATTGCTGCGTACATTGCGAAAGACCTTGCGACATGATGTGGCTTGTTGAGGCAAGAATTTGTTTCTTCTCATTTACAGTAATTGTTCTTTGCAGGCTGGATAGTCTTTCATGTTGGTTTGCGACAGGTTGTGGACAGAGCATATATAGATATAGATATAGATAGAGACTTGGAGATCAGTGACATCTAATCAAAGGCAACAAGAGAGCTGGAACAATTACATCCGTAATTTGATTTGCCGATATTTGCTGTAGGTCCTTAGTCACCTTCGTCATCCTTCGTCTGAATCTTGGTCTTTCATGGTCTTTCAATGGCAATCGGATATCCCAGGTACCGTCTGCTGCGTTGCCGGAAGAGAATGCAGATCGCCTCATTGAAGCCGCGGCAGGAAGGGTATCAGAACCCGTTTTAACCCAAACCCAGCAGATTTGGCGAAATGAGTTTGCCTTTACAAGTTGTACATGGGAAGGAGGTTGGCGATTAGTTTGTGTATGTTTTTTTCAGGTTGATATAATATGATATAATATAAGTTATAATATAAGCATTTAGAGTCTAAAGGTCTTGCATGTGTTTATTGTTTCAGTTTTTGAATGCCGTTGACACATTTTATGTCATGCCATGGTGGCAGGCCTTGCCAAATCTCAGATCAACGACAAACGCGACTCTGGCCGAAGAAACATAGAATTACTGTCATGCAATGCAGTGTGAATCAAGAGACAAGGACGCTGACTCGGCTAGTGGCCTTCAAAGTCAAAGTCTTCATTTAAATTTGCTTTGCCTGTCATTACGTCATGATTCATTGTACAGTATATGTTGTAGATATTGAAAAAAAAATCTTGACGGAACATGTTCGGTTTTAAGTGAGCACCAGCAAAGTGCAAGCAGCTTTCAACGAATTTCACCAATGAACTGATTGAGGCAAGCGCGCGCGAGCCCAGAATGCCGAGCAAGGACTCACCACAGGCTTCCTGGGGTAAAGTGAAGCAGGTGAACCGACTTCATCTTTAACTACATAGCGCCACATAGGTCATAGGTGCCAGTGGATTTTTGGTCCGAAAGGTTGAAAAGCTGTCAGTCCATGTTTCAGCGCATGTTTTGAAAATTCTTGAAACATGTCCTTGCAGGCCCACCACCCAAGCGTCCAAGTACAGCTGCCACGGCTGCCACGTCTTCAACGCGGCTGCAGCCAGCCCAGGTAAGCCAAAGGATGGATACAGTGCATCCGCGAGCCATGCCTGGAGCAGCTTTTTCGCCCATGACAGGGCCGTCACCCATGGTGCCGCAGGTGCAGCCCCAAAACCTTGGCAGTCGCCCCATGGGTCACATGGGTCGCCCCAGTGGGTTGCAGTGGCCACAGAATCAGCAGCAGCAGCAGCAGCAGCAGCAGCCGCCGCCGGTTTTTGCAAGTGCTATGGCGGCTGTACCAAGATGTGAAGCGCCTGTTCACCCATCCGTCATGACTCCTCCACCGACAACCAGACGCGACACTGAGGAGACAAGTTGGAAGACATGACATGTTTGTCATGCAAGTATTTGCCGACAGACAACTCACCAGCCGGAACTGCCACATTGAATATCTAGCATTTTTGGGAAAGAGTTTGCCCATGGATATGCATCATGCAAGCGTATAAATGATGTAAATGTATATAAATACTGTATATTAATGTATTCACAAACACAATTGCATTAAATACATGAACAACTAAATATAATTAATCATGAATACATGAATATCTGAATATTGTATAATATCATCATGTCATGTGATGGGCTTGTGGCCTCCAGGACATTGGAGCGGCATCTGAAGGTCAGCGAATTGATGTGGCAGTGACCAAGTTTGGGCTAGGTGGAAATTGATGACAATGATTTTTTAAGCAACAACATAAAATTTCGGAAGTATCGGCCTGCAGTCAGTAGATGTCAGTAGTGTATTTGCAGCTGATTTAATGTAGATGCTGCATCAAATCCCGCGCGTAAATAGCCATGTGCAGGTGATGATACAGAACAACTCTGCAACTCAGTGAGCAGATGTGCAACGCCCTGTCGACTTGGAGCTGCTGTTGAGGACAGCTGTTCGAGTATGTTGGATTTTGTAGAAATGACTCAGGAACTTGCAAGACATCCTCAAAATATGTTGAGTCAACCACCCTAAGTGTTTCTGATGTTCCGGCACTTTTCCTCGAGATGTTGCTGTTCCTGGTTTCTTCCTCTCTAGGAGGAAACATCTCCACTGTCTTCGGAAAGGCTTGGCGAAGGCTTGCGCAGAGTTGGACGGTTAAGTTTGAGCCCAAGGGATGTAGAGCCTTGACGGCCGTCTGTATCCCTTTGTATCCTTCGCCGGGACCTGGGATCATGACGGTCATGAGATCATCCACACTGAGTCTCTCACCAATGGTGTGTGGATATGTGTGGATGTGTTTGATGTTTTTGGCTCGATTGTCAGCCTATGATAGCCTAGATTAAAGCACTCAGTACCAGCCGAAGATTTTAACATATTCAGCCAAATTCATCCTAATTCAACCTACAAAATAAGGTTATGAAGAAATTCATTGATCCCAACTGCTTCAGGTTTGTTTGATGTTACTTGATCTATCTTGTTTGGATTTCAGCAGAAAGCTGAATTATGCTAAATCTGAGGAAGCTGTGGGTGGATCTCCTGGTGCCCATTCCTGTGGAGTTGCATCTGGAGGATGGCTGGATCATCAATATCATATTACGTATATATATATACACGTATATATGTGTATAATATAAATATATATATATACATACTCAAGTCCTTGACTTGTCCTATGTAGATTTGTTAAGTTTAATAAGGTATGTATACAATTGCAATGTAGACGTCGAATTTGGCATGTGTTTCCTACGTGTACTTTGATTTTCGTTGAAATGGTCACCAGCGGAAAGCACCCAAATCCATCAGCATGACTTTAATCCTTTCCTTCAGCTTCTGTTTGCATGGCTACACTCATTGCAATCCCCTCTCATGCGAGGAGCATCACCTGGTGGTTCTGCAGACTCACAGTCAGCTCTGGTTTCAGCACGTGGAGAACCCCATCCCTGCGTGCAGAGCGAAGCCAACTTCCTAGCATCTGCATTGGCAACCCCAGGCTGACCACAGCCTTCAGTTTAGCGGCTAATTGCCATCAATTGCGTCAGATCATGGTTTATCTGTGGCCACCAGTTGTGGAAGCGTGTGTTCGTTCCTCTTCTACCTACTGTAGGCTAGACACAACAGCAAACCGAGTGGCAGTGCTGTGACAATCTGTAAACTTCCTGAAACGTTCTTGCCACGTCAGGTGCTCGTTTTCGGTTGCCTCCATTGCAGATTCTCTCTTTGGCAGATCCGGCACTTCAAAACTTGAGCACACGGCTACTAACTGTGCCAAGCTTAGTCTTCTTGAAAGAGAGAAGCACATGAGCGCTCACATGAAGATATCGACTCCTCATACCTCATGACACACACGCAGCAACGAGAGCCTGACCTGTGTGCTGGAGGTTGACTGGATTGGAGCAACCATTGTGCTTGGTGGTGACAAAGAGGAAGCGCTGTGCTTATCATTGGGTCCCTGCGAGGCCTATTGCCTGGTTTTGCCACCTCCAACCTCTGAGAAGACCGCAGCACCGCTGACGGGATCTATTTGGAGCTGGTTTCAGGATGAGCAAAATCTGTGCCTCACAGCGAATGCCAAAGACTTGGTGGCGGCATTTCTCAAGCGGGGCATTGATGTTCAATGCTCCTTGGCGGAGCCTCGAATTGCCTATTGGTTGTTAGATCCAGATGACAAGCAGAACGTGGCGATTTCCAATCTGGCAGCACTTTGTCAGATCAACTTGGAATCCGCTGGTGCTACAATTGCTGGAAATGCTTCAAGTCTCAGTGCAGTATTAAGAGCCAGACTTGCAACTTCATGGCCCGAAGCCTTTGTAGTGCTGCCTGTGTTGGCTGAGCTGCTTAGAAGACTGGGGCGACAGCAACTCTTGGGGAGCTTTTGGTGGATTGAAATGCCAATTGCCACGGTCTTGGCATGGATGGAACACTTTGGAATTGGATGCCAAACCAGGGATCCCAGCCATACACGTTGCCATGTATTGTACAAGATGGCAGCCATCCAGGAACACGTGAAGAAAGTGGTGGGGAGGCAAGTTTTGTTAAACTCAAGTGAGGACGTAGGCCGTGCGCTCTTTGAAGATCTTCGAATTCCTTTGCCAAGAGGGGCACAGATGCGTCGCAAGGCCAATGGCAGACTTTGTTACAAATCACCTCAAGACTTATTGAAGCGCTTGCTGCCAAATGAAGTTGTCAGTTTGATCCTGGAATATCGGCAGCTGATTCATGCGGTCAAGCGAATTGAGACAATTCAACGATCTGCAGAAGCTCCGCGGATGGAACCTTTGTGTCCTTTATGTATCGGGACCAATGGGACCATCGGAGCTTCAAGTAGTCAACCCTGCACCGTCTGCACAGGCTATCCTTTTTCGCAGCCACGCATTCGGACAGACTTTGTACAGACTGGCACGGCAACGGGGAGATTGGCAACTGCTGCAGGAGATAGGCTCAAAAGCCAACAGTTTTGATTCTTGTTGACTAATACTTTTCCTGAATTACATGAACAATCATGAACATCTTATAAAATCTTATTATGAAGTTGCTATAATTTCTCTTAACCACTCCATCCTCACCTAACCTCTCCAGGATCCGTCCCTTTGATGTGCTTGGAGAATGCCTTTCAAATCAGCGAAGTGGTGCGGCCATCGCTGCATGAAGAGTTGATAAAGGGCGAGGTCCAAGCTGCTGCAGTGGCCGGTGCCAGAGTTTTTGTGGCCGCAGCCTCTGAGGCACCGCCCAAGCAGCGGCTTCTCAGAGAAGGTGCAGTACAAGAAGTGTCCACCCGGAGCTGTGATGAAGCCATGTGCGATGCTTGGACTTGCTGAAAGTGATGGTTTTTATTGGTCATTATTGGTCCATGAATCCACCATGACTGATATGACTGGGAAATCTGCAGGGATTGTTTCTAATCTTTTGGGGGCCTCTTAAGCAAATCCAAGGACGGGGAGACCTCCTTAGCACAATATTGGCTCTCACGTGGTTGGCAAGTCTATGCAGATCAGGCCCGGAGCAGTAAAGTGCGACAGGTCTTGATTCAACATGGCACGTCAGTCCTATCATATCCTGCAGATCAAGTCTGGCGCCTGGCAGCAGCAGTGGATGTTTCCAAGGAGGCTGCAAAGATCATGGTCAACCCGCGGCAGTTGCTGTCAGCAGAACCTGGCTACGTGCTGTTGAGCTTGGACTATTCGCAGATAGAGGTTCGTTTGATGGCCCACTTTTCGGGTGATCAAAGACTTCTAGACATCTTGCATCAAGGTGGAGATGTCTTCAAACAAGTCGCAGCAGGTTGGTTGGGAAAATCCGCTTCAGACATCACTCCAGAAGAGCGCAGTGGGGCAAAGCGCATTTGCTACAGCCTGATTTATGGTGTTGGTTCTGGCAAGTTAGCAGCAGACCTTGGAATATCTCGCCATCAAGCCAATGAGCTCAAAGCTTCCTTCATGAAGGAGTACGCTGGCGTTGCCTTTTGGATCACTTCGTGCACAGACCAAGCCCGTCAGCAAGGCTTCGTGGAAACGGTCCACGGACGTCGCCGCTTCCTGCCTGGCTTGGGATCCTCCTCAGCGGCACAGCGGTCGCATGCGGAGCGGCAGGCCGTGAACACCGCCTGCCAAGCGTCAGCGGCGGATCTGATGAAAGCTGCCATGATTGGGATCCACATTCGTTTCTTGGTATATTTACTCTGTTTTTTTGTGTGTTTGATCTCTTTTAAACATATCTATACGTTTTGGGGGTTCCCCCTTGTTACGGCGAGCTTATACAGGAGAACACAACAAAAGATAAGCCTTAGGTCATGGGCTTGGATGAGCCGATCTAAGCCAATGAAGCAAACAAGTCTTAAGTTCCACGAGTTTCAGAAGTATGCAGTATATGTTTCAGCTACCAGGATTGAAAGAGCTTCGAAGCCATGCGTCTGATGGTCAATGTCGTTTGGTGGGACGTTTGTTGTTGCAGATCCATGACGAGCTGATGGTGGAGGTTGAAGAAACTTGCCAACATTGGTGGAATATTATTTGGTGAAAATTGATAAATCATGAATTATTATTGAATTATTTTAATATCGGAAAGGACTGTTGTGAGCGACAGAATTCACAAGTTTTGGGGGAGAAAAGTTTCATCAGAATAATTTCCTACTGCTTGCCCTCACAAGAATCGTTTCTGACACATGTCATGGCACCATGTAATTACACTACATCAGTCATCTGCCTACATCTGCCCTACATTTGTCCAATTACACACATCTGTTTCCAACATCTGCCTTCACTTCTCTGCATTGACTGCACAGATTAATCCAGATCAATCCTGATTAATCACTGGCTTAACATCATACATCACAACCCTAGCTTTTTGCTTGACTCCGGCTCTTAGTTCGGGCCTGCTTGTCTGCTTCTGCGTCTGTGTCCGGTCTTGCCCTGTCATGTTTGTTCGGTTTTCTCGAGGTTTTGGTATGATCCTGATTAATTAATCTGGATTCGTAACGTCTTACATCATGACTCCGGCTAGTTCCGGCCTTCTTGTCTCCAAATTTGGAAAATCAGATGCTCGGAGACTTGGGCATAGGTTGAGGGCAATTTTGTAGTTCATCTATTTCCACCTAGTTTTCTGCAGAATTTGGCACTGTTCAAAAACAATGCCACAACAATTGAAACAAAATAAAGCAGACAAAGTGCACTTAGGACATGGGTTTGGCATTTTTTTACATACAATCTCCCAATATCTGTGATCCCAAGTCTTATTTTTCAAAGAAGATTATATTCCTTACAGAAAGTGTGGCCTGACTTTGTGCATTCCCTTTGAAAGATTGTAATATCTTTGAAAAGAGCGCAGCAATGGTCTGAAATAGACCTTCAATGCGTATACAATTTCATAAAAGTATGGCGCCTTGTGCTAAAAGATTCCAACACCATTTCAAATGAAGGTCCACTTATATTTATAATTATTTATATATATATAAATAAATGCACACACACACGTATATATACCATTGTGTTCTTTTGTGATCATGGCATAATGGCATTCCTTGAAGTGAATGTTTATAACATGCATAACTATCTGGAATAAAATCTTTCAAGAAAGTGCATCATCTCTTTGAAAAGGGTGCAAGATTTCCTCAGACATCAAAACATAATTCCAAATTTCAAGATGAAATTCTTTTGTGTTTATATAAAGTGTAAAGTGTTCCTTTTATCAAAAGAGTATAATGTTCCTTGAAAAATGTGGAAAGTGTTGTTTTTCTTTAAAGCTATCAGCTCCTTGAGGGAGATGCAATATTCTCTTAAGACAATGGAAATTTATTCCACCATGTAATCCTTTTACACATGCAGCACTCTTTCTGAAATAATATGGTTGTCCCTTGGTGCATAAATGATGGAATCACTTGATTAAGAAGAGTGCACAACTCTTTCGTATTGAATACAGAAACTAGTTTCTTTAGAGAAAGACCTGATTCTCAAGGAACAACAAACGAAAACTGAACCTTTTCAACATGAATACTACACGTGTGAAGACAATTATTTTTGCTCTTGCAGGAACATGGCTTCTTGAAAAGGATACTATATTGTCTTATGACGGGGTACTTCAACATAGTAATTTGACGTGATGTTCAAGGACTATAGTGTTGATGCATTGGGTATTGCACTTTTGACATGAATTCTGCATATTAAAGGGATGGTTGTAAATCGACAAGCATGCTACATATGGCGCAGGAATATTTGAAGGGATATCATGTGGAAGAAGATTTCGCTTTTTCAGAAACGAATGCTGCATCTTTTAGATTTTAGAGGATTTCTTCATAATTGTAGGGGTATTGCTTGTTGAAAAAAGCATTGTACTTTTTCAAAGGAAAAATGCAATTTAATGAAAAATGCTTCTTTATAAGCTGGGGATACTTCATTGTTTAGAACAGGAATGTACTATCTTAAATTCATGCTACATATTATAGAAACATTTTTACCCCTAAATGGAAGGCTGTACATCTTTAGGGACGCCCTGCATCTTTTAGAAAAAAACGTTATATTTTGCAAGCATGAAACTATTTCAAGGATATTATTATATAAGATGCACATATGTTTCAATATACTTATTCCTGAATTGTGTGTATTTACATTTATGATCATTTATGGCTCTTTGACTCTGATGTATTTACTTAATTGCATTAAATAAGAACAACATATTTCACAAGGAGACTCTCAAACAAGAAATATAATATGAATTAATCAGATTTTGCATGGGAATTGCATGGAACTAGATTTCCAATAATTTCTGAATGAAAACCAACCTTTCTTGATTTATGGCAATTTTGAGCACATAGTCGGGTGAAAAGTAGCACATAGTTGGGTGACAGATACAAGTATGTACTTAAAGTGCAACCTGTTCATATCTGGATCAGAAGGATTTGCAAAAAATAATGCCATTTATTTAAGCAAATTTTCTGCCGCTCGCAACAGTCCCCTCCCTTTAATATATGGATAATTTGACAATGAGTTTGCAGGTGTGTCAGGAAGGTTGTTTGTGATTGTTCAGTCGTGCTTTAGAAATTGGCCTTGACATAGGACATCATAGGACACCGTGTGATATTGTTGAAATGAATCAGACAAGAAATTCTCCGAACAGTGCTTAGTTTTGCTGAGACGAACCTGAGGAAACCCGCCTGACAGAAGTTCGCGAAGTTGTGGTGTCTGAGATGATTCGAGCTGGTTGTGACTTGAAAGTACCACTGCAAGTGCGATGGAAAGTTGGCAAGACCTGGGGAAACCTGGAGTCCTGAGACGGATGATTGGGATGATTAGGATGATTGACAGTGTACAGTAATTGATGCATGAATTAGCGATGCATCAAATTGGATACATGCGTGGTGCGTTTGTGGGGATGGACATTGCATACGGCGGCCATGGTAGCTTCGTTGTAGTTAGTTCACGAAAGGTAGCTCCGGTAGAGCTACCTTGAGTTTTGCTTTACGAAGTAGAGGGGAGGGCGGCCAGCCCCGTTACCTGATTATTCAGGAGATTGCTAGTCATTTCAGTACCCCCCCTCCTAAGAGCAGACCCAAAACATTGTAATTTACAGTGTTTTTATGCCTTTGGCATGGAAAAAATACTTCTTGCAACATGCTGAAAATTGCGTAAATACCAGTGTTTTTTTGCTAGGTGCTGGCCAAAAAACACTGTAAATACCGTGATTTTTGCTACCAGAGGCAAAAAACATCGTAAAGAATCGTAAATATATTTCAATACCGTGGTTTTGGGCTTCCGACCCGCCAAAAACATCGGTATCTACGGTGTTTTTTGCTCCGAGAGTTGCAAAAACACGTGAAAACAGCACCTATTTGACAATTTTCGGCCACTACGGAACTGAGAAAAAAGCTGCAGGGGCAGCAGCAACAACAACAACAGCAGCAGCAACAACAACAACAACAACAAGATCGCAGTGTTCCCTGCCGGACCCGAACAGCAACCTCTGGATCGGAGTGACCCCTGCCGGACCTCAACCGCGCGGACTGGATCAGAGCGTTGCCCGCCGGACCTCAACCACAAAGGATCTCCAAAGATATACCCGATAGAATGCCAGAAAGAACTTCAGAAAACATTTGAGATAAAATTCGAATGCCAGATAGAATGTCAGAAAATATGTCAAACAAGTGTCGCTTGGTGGGGATTAATTACTCGAAGAAAGTAATTTGCTCCGAAGGCTTTCAAAATTGACTTAAGGCAGCCTAAATGAGGCCTTGTGGGGCCCTGTGCGCATCATCGCCATCAGCAACAACCGTAAAGACATTAAGCATTTGAACTTGTTTTTTTTTGGCGACGCATTTTGCACCAATACCTGTCTACAACCAGACGACGTTAGGCACAGAAACCTTTACGCAGAGCAGTTTTTACGAGCAGGTATTCTTACACAGAGAGGTTTGTGCACAGAGAAACTTTTGTACACAGACACCTTTGCACACAGAGGTTTTTACACAAAGAAGGATGTTTTTACATACCGAGGCTTTGTGCAAAGATGTTTTTGCGCACATAAATAGAAGGACACTAAGGACATAGGCATGTTTACACACAGAACCCTACCCACAGAGAAACATAGAGAAACCTTTGCACAGAAAAAAGTACACACACACACATTTTTTTTACAAATTGCACACACAGACTGCACAAAAAAAATTACACCCCAAAATTTTTGCACGCAGAAACTTTACCCAGAACAGTTTTTACACAGCAGAAACTTTTCCGCACAGAAGCCTTTACGAACATTTTTTTTTACTGCACCGCAATTTTTGCAGAGGGGTTTTTTACACAGAAAATTCTCCGCACAAAAGGTTTTACGCACAACATTTTTTACATACAGACGTTTGTATACACAAAACATGCCTTTACACGGAAAACGAATTGCACACAAAACTTGTGCACACAGCACACTTTTACACGCAACCAGTTTTTACACAGAGAGGTTTTGTTTTCCCTTTTTGATCATCTACCTTTCGTGTTCCCCCTCTCAAATTGTATTTTGTAAGAAACAGGCCGTTGTTGTTGATATTCTATACGGTTATCATTGTGCACTTACTTTTTAACTAGCCCGCTTTGCATTTCCATCTCCCAACATCTCCCAACAAGTTAAAAGACACGGTTTGGTTGAAGGCAATTGAATTGGCCGTGTGCCGATTCCACATCGCTGATTTGTGTCGCTGCTTGCGGAAATGACCGTGACGAGCGATAAGTTACAGCGATTCCAGAGACAATGAGTTCAAAGCACTTGCAGGGCCTGCAGAGTTGCCAATTATAATGGGCATAACAAGGCAGATGTACCATTCTTTAGGACGGCCATGCCATGATATGCCATGCAACAAATTTCACACCAGACAATACCATACATAATTTTTTGTCAGTCCACCAGACCAGGAATCAATGAATTTATGAATGCCTTGAGACTGGTGGTGTCTCTATGAAAGCCAATAAAATTGGATGGAACAGTTTGAGCTTTGTGAAAGGAGTACTCGATTGACTTTACAAGAGGTCGAATGAATGTGACTTGCACATTCAGGACTTGATTGTCATCAAAGATTGCAAGAACAGACTAAACTATCTAAACAGAGTTGGCCATGAAACAATTTTGATGAAATCAGTGATTATGTGTTGTGCTGTTGGAGATAGCGTTATGGCGCCAGCACTTTTTGCTTTTTGTTTTGTTTCCTGCTGAGGTTTGGGCAATCTGAGCCATTGGCATGATCACGATCTCCGCGAGTATGAGGCTGGAATGCTACAGAGATGGCGACTGTTGAATGGGAGCGAAAGCAACAAGCTGAGACAAGCTGAGACAGTGCCCTGGTGAAAGACCATGCAGCAATGCAGCAAAGATGCTGAACGTGCACGATGTTTTGGCAGGACGAATTTGGCTACCAGGCACGATACCCAGGATTCGCCTTACATAGTACGCTTCCGCGATGTTTGAAGATGGGAGAGCCGGTTCATTCCCCTTGCACTGGAGCCAATATTGGCACCAACTCCAGAAAATAATCGTCCAGCCGAAGTTTCGCTCAGGAGTTCCATGTTACACCAATATTGCTCTGCCTGAAGATGGGATATACCGCCAAATGGCAATAGTGCTTTTGATAGGGAAAATGATTACCAATCAATCGATTTCCCATATTTGTCAGACAAAATAATGTGATATCCCGCAAGTTTCGGAGCATTTTTACTGCGAAATCCTCTCCCTTTGCAGTTTGCATCAAAGATCTGCAGCCAATCAACAACTCAGGGGCTGAACTGCTTGGAGGAGGAAGTGGAAGAGCAGACCACCTGTTGGATTCTCCAAGATGCCGACGAGGCGAATCCCGAAGAATGTCAAAAATGGGACCCAAAGCTTTCGGGGACCGGGAGTGTTGCTGGCATGTTCAAGGTGATACATACAAGAACATAAATAACATTCAATAACCAGTTATAATTCTTGCGATTCTTGTATCTAATCTTTGAATGTAATATTAATGTAATTATATTATATATTATAGATCGAACTATATTGAATTAAATCATCACAAATTGACGAGGGCTGGTCCTTTGTTGGAACCAATCTCGTTCTGCAGAATTCGTTGCCAGGATGACATCGCCTTCGCAGCCAGAGCCGGCAGTGCAGGCCGAAGGGATGTTGTTGTGCTATGTGGTTCTATATTTGACGGACAATATGATACATGGATATGAATGCACAAGAGATAGTATAGCATAAAGACGTATAAAAGATGTATATATTCAATAAAGTAGTACAATCATGGTACGAAATATACAGTTGTGATTGTGAATATATATATATGTATGGTGAGTTTGGCACGCCTTCAACTTCACCACAGCCTCTCACCGTCTCTGTGTCAGCCCGAACAAGATCCAATTTTCCTGCAAATTGTCAATGGCTTGCAGCATAATATGAACAGCCTGTGACCAGGAGATGTTACAAGACAACGGCCTGCATCCATGTCACTGGGCCATAAAGCTTCCCTGTGGTATAGTACCCTCTGGTCATTTGAGATGGCTATGGATAATGACTCATTTATAGATGTTCCATAGCAATGTGAAATCACCAGAGGGTATGTGCGTCAGAGACACTAGATGTGGTTTACCAGTTTTTTTTCCATGTTTATTCGTTGTTCGACTATGGAACCTGTTCCGTCCGACTGGATCTTCAGGTTTTGGAGGTCAAAGGGTTTCATGGGTTTCGTTTCGCTGAGGCCTGACCTCCCGAACCTCATGAAGTCTAGAGCTCCGCAAGTGGATGCTCTCAGGGCTTGGGCGAACTTGGTTGATAGATGTTTGGGACATTCCAATCCAACTCGCAATTTGAAGAAGGACACTTGTTTCAACTTCTTTGTAAAGTTGAATTGATATACAGATATATACAGTATTGAGATGTTTTGTTCAAGTTGCGGCTATAGGCTATATTGCCCATGAAAGGAATGGGTTATGGCCCGAGGCTTCACTTTTTTGTACAGCATCCCTCCTAAGTTCTTTTCAGCGCGGGAACCTCCTCTTATGGCTCTTCTGTACACAAAGCATCACATAGCTGTGTTCACTACAGCAGTTCATAGAGGTTGTTAGTGGCAGTCAGCTTGCAAGTAGTAGACGTTTGTGTGAGAGGCTGCACACCATATCTTTTTCGCGCTCAAGAGTTTGAGTTGAGCCCAGGTTGGATTGGAGAAGGTCACCAAAGCAGGCAGCATATTCAGGGACCCAAGTCAAGGTCAAGCATGGATTGAACTGATTGAACTTGAATTTGTGCAGAGCCGATGTCCGACTGAAACCAGCAGAGGATTTAGGCGAACAGAGGATACTGGATTTCAAGAGATGATGGTGAAGTGATGTGTGAGGCAGACGTGCCGACCTGACCTGCTTCTTTTCGCCGACTCCGACTTCTCCCAAGACAACGGTCTCAATACAACTAAAGACAAGTTGCTGTTGCGTAGGAGCCCATAGGGTCTTTCTTCAGGATGAAGATTTGAGTTTTCCTGCAGCACTTATATATAATTTCAGTAATTTTTGCGGTACTGCGCAAACGAAATCTTTACATTTGGAGATCTCCTCCAAGTACTAAACCCGGCAATAGCATGCAAACTAGCGGCTAGTTTGGATAAGCATAATTGGAAACTACTGCAACATACTGCAACTATGCCAAGGAGTATCGAACATGTCAAACAAAAGGATCCAGCCTGGCAAACAAGATATGAGCAAGAGGCTAAACTCTCCGTGTAGGAGGTATGTATTCGAGCGCTCTCGTATGTAAAAATATGCATATTGATATGTAAAACGATATAGTGAAGTCCCAAAAACGATAACCTGGGAATCATATTGTATGTAAAAGCATTGTGGGAAGTGAAGGGGTGGTGTACATGACATGATGGTGGACACCTGTTCTAGAAGCATCTAGATAATCTAGGCTCTCAGTTGTGGGGTATACGTCATGACCAGCTCACACAACGGAAGATGTGCAAAAGTATGCTGACACTCTTGATCCTAGCCAATTTCTTTATTTCTGATTATTGTAAACACTTTTGTATCCAAGCACGTATTGCTACAGTATGTGGTAACTAGCTGGATTTGGATGCTCTTTTTGTCTCGCCATTGTTCAAGCCTTCCGGATGAGCGTTTTGTATTCTCCCGCTTTCATGCAAGCATTGACGATGACAACAGGCCTCCTTTCCAACATTCCTTGGTTCATGCCATTTTCCAAAAATGTTTCCCTCTTTGAACGATAACGAAAACGATAACTAAACGATAACCATTTCTTGACAAAATGTCCTTCGCTGATGGATGGCCCAGATGCGACAAGATTCTTGAGATGATTCTTTGCCGTTGAATATTATCACTTGCTTATTGCGATTTTTCGCTGCTATGTAATTCTTTTGCGGCGCCCCATTGCTTTAGTCAATCCTGGTTCATCTCGGGCACACCGGCACACCTGCACCTGCAGGTCCGGTTTGGCGATCTTTCTCCTAGATGAAGATGGCCAAGGCAAAAGCATTGGACCATGGTGATGGTTTGCTACCCAGACGCTGGGGAATGAATGAAAGGCATGGAGCATGTCGCTGTGAGAGCTCATCCAGAATTCTTCCAACATGCTTCAGACGCTGAAGTGGAGGTGTAAAAAGGCTTTCCGCACGCAATTTGCCAGGGGATGCAAATGATGCAATCAGGATATACTGTAAAACGATATAGTGAAGTCCCAAAAACGATAACTTTGACCCGAGATCGCAGTTTTCAATTGAGGTTTTGCCGATCGCTCAAATGGTCCCAGCCAGGCGCCATCGCGGGGTGAAGGCCCATCTGACTCTACAGGAGGGGCTCAACAGGGACGAGACAGGAAGAACAGTTGTTGAAACTGCCATTCGATTGTGGAGGTATGTGGAGATACAAAATCCTGACGTGTAGTCCTGTAGTCCTGAAATGTGCAAGAACATTGAATTTGTTCTGTTCAGAACGAAACTTTTGATAGGCCTGGAGCTGGATGATCCTCAGGCTGGGTGTAGCAGACAGTTTGTTTTGTGGATCAGCATGTAATTGTGGTTTTCTGATGTTTTCTGGGGGATGGTAAGACCTTAGGAAGACTAACCCTGGCTAGGAGACAATGCTGCTATCTGAGACCTTAAGATTGGTTCGAAAAAACAACTCACGCATATTTTTGGATCATGTCTTGGAGGGGATGAACGTCCATTTACCATTCATTTAGGGATTCATTTAGGGATTCACACAGAGTTACATAGAGTTACTGGGTTTTGACCCATCCCTGCGAACAACTCGGAAGCGCAGGGTGAGTTGGACACCTTGCTGGCAGAGTGTCAGAGGCGGCTGAAACATTTGGAAGCCTTGCGCCTGGATTTAAAGATGAGGAAACCTAGGAAACTGAGGAAACTTTCAAATTCTGTATTTGTATTTAGTATATTGATAGTAGCTTGTGGTCCCCCCGTTTTGATAGTGTGAAAGTTGATCCCATCTTTTTGTAGCATTTCCTTTCAAGGGACACTGTTATAGAGGTGGCTCTTGGTCGCCGGGCTGATCTAAGTGCCAATTCCTAACCTGGTCCGTACCGGGGAAGGAGGCGGTGCATTGGATTGGCCATGAGCGACCCTGAGCCATGGAGAAAGACCGGTCGAAAGGCCGGAGAAGACCATTGGGTTGGTCTAGGAGCTTTGGCTCTACTCGAAGTGTCGGTCTACGACGATTTGGGGCGACAGCAAGGATGCGGCCTGGTGCAGCTGACTGAACGTGGAACAGAAGTCCAACCAGGAGAAGGGCAAACGTGGTTGGGGAAGTTTGTCAGCGTGGAGGATGAGTACTACGAGTGGTGGCTTGAAAATACGTATGGGCAGAGGCCAATCCCGCTGCATTTTTGCCAGCGCCAGGCACATCGATGTACCGATGAGACGGTCTACAGGAGCCCCATCCATGTGGATGTCTTCAGGGTGCTGCCAGGCAAGAGCTATGAAAAGCTTGGATGGCTGAATGGCAAGAAGAAAGATGATGCAGAGCGATTGATGGACCTCAGCCTCGGTTCTGGCGGGGGAGGTGGGATCGCTGGGCCTGGTCCTGCTAGGCCTGGCACACCCCCTCCTGGCGCTGGAGAAGAGGTGCAGACAGGTGAGGCAGGGATTGATGGCTTGGCAGTCGCACTGGGTGCCAATCAGGCTGAGGAGCCCCCGCACAAGAAGCAGGTGGCAACCACCCCAAAACCTGCAAAACCCAAGGAAGAAAGTGCTCGAGAGGGTGCATTGAAGACAAGGGGAGGTGACCTTCAAGAAGTGATCGCCCAGAGGACGGCCCCCCAGCCAGCTGATAGCGCTTTGAAGATGGAGCCAAGTCTTCGAAGAAGAAGCGAAAAAGAGACAAGAGGGCCCGAGAGAGGAGCCACAAGAAAGCGCGAAGCCGTGGCCGTGAGAAGGAAGACGACTCCAGTGAGGATTCTGCAACGTCGACTTCCTCTTCGGAGTCGCTTTTTCGGCTTGCCGCCCTGCCCGAGGGGACCGAGCGTCTTCCTCGTCTGCACCAAGAACGGCCAGGGATGTTGGCCAATCTGACGCTACGCAGGTTCCAGGAACTTTTACAGAGGTCAACGGGTGGGGGAGCGGCAGAGAGAGACCAGGAGATGCCAGCGGTGGCCAGGGCATACCTCAATCAGATATACCTCCCGAGGCATCCGGAGGGGTCGATCGGGTTGAGAAACATGAGAGAGCTGAGAACGCTCACCACACTGGTGGATATGGTCGCCCTGAACGACCCCTTGAGAGCTTTGGATGTGGCTCTACAGAGGATCAAATCGATAGAGCTGTTTGTGAGCCAGGGGCACTGGAATCAGGCAAATCTCTTAGAGTTGGTCGTGCCAGAGGAGGAACAGAGAGCATGGTTCCGCCAAGAACTGAAAGCGGCCCAACAAGAGCAGAAGGCGGACCTGAGACTCCAGCAGGATCAATGGCCAAGGAGGAGACAGGCGTGGAGCGGAGGAGTCGCAGCCGCCGGAGGAGGAGAAAAGAAGGAAGGCGAAGGAAAAGACGATGCCCCTCCCTCGAACGGAAGCAATCCCGGCAAGGGCAAGAAGGGAAAAGGCAAAGGCAAGAAGGGACGGGGCAAGTGGTAGAAGGTCGGCTGCTCGAGGGTGACCTCCGGTATCGATCGCTTGAGCGCGCTATGGGTGAGAGTCAGATTGAGGAGTCGACCAGAACAAAGGTCAGAGAGTTTGTGCAGGACCCCCAGGTTGTTGAGATGCACGCAATGCTCAAGGAGAGCTTGGGGAAGTCTTCAAAGTGGAATGAGGTTGAGTATGGCTTCTTTGAGACAGTCGCTGATGTGGCAGGGGACCCAACTCTTGAAGTGAAGACGCGGCTGGCAGAAAGCATGCGCTTTTTGGTCAATGAGAGTGAGCCTGATGGGATCGCTGGCTTCAGCCGCCTTCTAGGGGTGGGCAGCCCCCAGGTTGGGGTTGATCCTCGACCTGGGGAAGGCAAACTCCTGAAGGTGGTGCGGGGCATAGAGATCCGAGCAGCCAGCATTGACTGGACAAAAGAGGATGGAGTGTATGTGGGGCCACCCAGTAAGGACTATGGCACCACCATTTACCATCGAGACTTTGTCGGTCAGTTGGATAGAGAGCTGGTCCGAGAATCCCTTCAGGGCCAACGGTTGTACGTCCAGGAGAAGGACCAGCACCATGCCGAGTGGCTCATAGCAGAGTTTGGCTTGGAAGCAGGACAGCATCTTGACCCCCAGGGGTGGAAGCAAATCTTGAAGCGGTGTTGCAGCCGAGCGATGTCGCTGAGCTTAACCGGGGCGATCTTGAAGCTGGCTATCCAATGTCGCCCGGGTGAGTTGGGGAACTTTGCTCGTGCCCTGACTTGCTGTGCTCTGGAGGCTTTTCAGCGTTCCGCAGAGCTGCTCCCGCTCCCCCTTCCACCTTTGGATGAGGCTGGCCTTGCAATTGAAGACAGGATCAGGTCCTTGGCTATGGAAAGCACAGGAGATGATGAGGCCTGGAAGGCCGTGGAAGAGGTGGCCCCTCAGATTGGGGGAAGGTGTGGGCTTGGTTGCAAGTTCTGGTGACGAACTTCCTGTATTGCCAAGGGGTCAATGGCAGGATGATCACTGAGGGGATGCTGCATGGAAAGACGCCCACCAAAGCACAGGAGGAGGCCATCCTGAAGCTGCGACAGTGGTCACGAAAGTGGCTTAGCGGAGATCAAACCAATTGCATCCGAGCGGATAGCTGGGAAAACTTGGCGGAAAGTCTTGGGGATCTCTACACTGGCCCCTCACTGGGGAAGTCTTATCCCTTGACGTTGGAGGCCATTCTGCCCACCACTCCTGGGGCCTTGGAAGCAGCTAGAGTTGCTCTTGCAGATGTGGTGAGCCCGGCCGTCAGGGACTACGTGAACCAGCCTGATCTGCTGCGAATTCCAGATGAGGAGCTGGTGTGCCCACGCACAAGTGCCGTTGTGCAGGTGGAGTCACAGGATGAGTGGAACAAGGTTGTGGCTCACCTGGTGGCAGCAGGAATGCTAGAGAGAGAGGTCCCATCTGAGACCCTGCGTTTCAAAGATGTGCCGGTGAGGAACGGCGCATTTGGAGTCCACAAAAAGTGGGTTATGAAAGAGGACGGAAGATGGTTGAGAACATTGCGCCTGATCATCAACATGATCCCAGGGAACAGTTTCCAACGACGCATGCCAGTGAGGGCGTCGGAGAAGATGGGGTACGCTCCGTTGTGGGGGAATCTGTACCTTCATGATGATGAAGTCATTATTTGCGCTGCTGAGGATCAGAAGCATTGTTTCCACATCTACCGGCCTGGCTATGCATGGAGAAGCTTCTTCAGCCTGAACAAGAAAGCAGCTGGCTGGGCCTTTGGAGATGGAAATGATCAGGCAGGTTATCCCAGGGTGAAAAGCGCTCCAATGGGATGGAACAACGTGGTTGACTTCATCCAAGATGGATTTGAAAACATTGCTCGGGAAGCGGGCCTCAGCCCGGCACAGATGATCAAGATGGGAGAGCCAAGTCCTCTGCAGGCACTGGACACTCCACGGAGCTTCTTCTCCTTCTACGTGGACAACTATGACCAGCTAACGATGGTCTGGCGGACTGACAGAGGTTTGTACGAGGGGCAGCCGACTTGTGAACAGCTGCTCCTCAGGGAAAAGATGAGCGAACTGACAGTGGGGCGTGACCCAAACAAAGCAGCAGAGGGGACGCTCACGTGGGTGACGCTAGGAGCAGAGGTAGATGGAGAAGCAGGCTGGGTTGGGAGCTCGATGGAGTTCCGACGTGCGCTGACGTCTTCGAACCTTGGGCTGCTGGGCGGGGAGTTGGTCCGTACTGACTCACCCAACCTGCAGTCTGTGGTTTCGAAGAACATGCACAGCGTGCAATACTGTCGGCCCCTGTCCTGTTTATTTGATCACCTCTACATCGACTTGAACAAAAGCGTCCCCCGAGTGGTTAGCGAGAAGGCAATGGATGAGGTGCTGCTCCTAACTGGGGCGCTTCCGATGCATTGGATGGATCTACGGATGAAGATCTCAGGGCAGGTCTATGCGACTGATGCCAGCTTAGAAGGCGGTGGAGCCTGTGTAAGCACAGGCCTGAGCTCCTGGGGCTTGTCGCGACTGCAGAGCTTGTCGCATGAAGTGGATGGAATGGAAGGCCAAGCAACTCGTCGCATGGTGGTGATTGAGATGTTTGCTGGCATGGGAGGCTTGAAGCAAGCCCTTGACTTGATTGGCCTCGAGCCAATGTGGGTCGTGGCCGTTGACGCCTCTCCGGAGTGCATGAAGGTGTACCGACAGCATTGCAGGCATTGCATTTGGATCAAGGATGCCCTGACTATCACAAAGAAGGATGTTTTGGAATGGCGTAGGAGGTTTCCACGGGCGGAGGAAGTGCTGCTTGGCGGGGGCTGGCCCTGCATCAACCACTCAGCGCTCAATGTGAACCGGCAAGGCGCTGCTGGAGCAAGCAGCCAGCTCTTGGATGCAATGCTGCAAATCAGGCAGTGGTTGACAGAAGTGTCACAGGAACTCAACCTCAAACCCTGGAAGCTCTACGAGTTCTATGAAAACGTGGTGATGGATGATGAGGACTATGCAGTCCAAAGTCGAAAAATTGGTTTCGCAGCTCATTTCCTTGAGGCTGGTCAGGTGGGACGCTGTCGTCGCCCACGGCTCTACTGGGTAAAGAATGTGGAGATGATCCCAGGAGTGGATATGAGGATCATCAACAATGTGCCGATGAGAGGTCACAGCTACCATGTGAAGGAGGTGGACCTTGACACAGAGAGGCCGCCAATGAGCTGGTTTCTCAATGACAAGGCAGTGAAGATGGCTGATGAAGAGGAGCCCTTTGCCACTTTCACTCGACCAACGGCACGAAGTGCACCACCACCTTCGCCAGCCGGATTGGAGCAGGCCTCTGAAGCCGCAAAACGCCGGTGGCGGGGTGATGCATACAGATTGCAGCCTTATCAATACGAGCCCCGCAACTTGGTCAGAGACCACAATGGGCCGCGCCGCCCTATGCCGGAGGAGCAACTGAGAATGATGGGCTTCACTTCAAGCCATTTGAATACCAAGGCGCGTCTGTCGCAAGATCAGAAGGGTCAGATGATTGGCAACAGCTTCTCAGCCATTGCAGTGGCTCGCCTGCTGGTGGGGTTGGTCTTGAGCCCTGAGGATTGTGCCAGGAGCGACGTCACTCTGGCGCTTTGGAATGTTTGGAAGGCAAAGGAAGAGAAGGTCCAGGCTGAAGATCGTCCATGGAAAGTCCGCTTCTCCTCAGTGGCCGCTGGCATGCCGGGGACGGTGAGCTTGCGCGAGCAGGTGTTGCCGTCGCCAGTTATGCTGGTCCGGCCCTGGGTCGATCCCCAAGGGTGGATGACGGATGAGGAGACCTTGGCATACTTGTTGGCGAGGAATGGCACTCACAGAAGTGCTGAAATCCGTGTCGACCTGGGGACGCCTTTCTCAGTTGGGGAGCTCTGTAGACAGAGCGTTGACCCATCCCACTGGGTGTGGCGTGTGCTGCTATCTTATGAATGGAAAGAGAAAGGGCAACATATCAACACCCTGGAGCTTGTGGCCATTTTGGACCTTCTTCGACGCCAGGGACGAGATGTGAAGAACCAAGGTAAGCGCCTCATTGCCTTGGTTGACAATATGGTCGCGATGTCTTGCCTCTCGAAGGGACGCAGTTCGTCGCGGAGTCTTCAGGCCCCTTTGCGACGAATCAGTGCCGTATGCCTTGCAGCTCACGTTCGCCTCTGCCTAGCTTGGGTGAAAAGCCAGTGGAACCCGGCAGATGGCCCCAGTAGGTGGGCCAAAAAGCGTAGGCAGACCTGATGCCCCGACGACAAGTGTTGGGGCGACGTTGCCAGGTGGAGCGAAAACGAGAGCGGCAGGCATTGGGCACGTTGCAAAGTTTAGTTGTGGCACCAGCTACACGTAAGAGGTATCTTGAGGCTGTTTCACGTTTCCTTGCTTTCTTAAAAATGCATGGATACTCATATCCACGCTGCTTTGCTGTTCTTGATGGTCGAGTTTCTGAATTCATTGAATCTTTGTGGCATTCAGGGGATCCTAAAAGTTTTGCAAGTGATTGCTTGTCTGGGCTGGGCCATTTTGTGCCTCAATGTAAGAAATTTCTGGTGGGCTCCTGGAGACTTCACGGGAGCTGGACACGTGCTGAACTCCCCGCACGGGCGCTGCCCTTCACCCCGGTCATCGTCTATGCCCTTGCACAACTTTCATTTCAACAAGGGTGGCCAGATCTTGCCATTTTGCTGCTTTTAGGTTTTGATCGCTATGCTCGCACTGGGGAACTTTTCTCTGCCAAGAAGGGTGATTTTACCTGGAATGCGGCTGCTTCCCGGCTGGTGTGGTCTCTTCCGTTGACAAAAGTGGGACAGCGCACAGGTGCTCAAGAATCCCTGGTCATCAATGATCCATGGCTAATTGGAGCGCTGCGCAACTTTGTTGCTCCTCTGGCGCCGGGCGATTTACTTCGCTCTGCTTCGCCTGGTGTCCTGCGGCAACGTCTGAAGTCCCTGATCTCTGACCTAGGTTTGCCTGGGGGATTTCAATGGTACTCCCTCCGAAGGGGGGGGGCCAGCTTCGCTTTTCGTCAATCTAATGATCTTCCTGCTGTGTGTTTTGTTGGACGATGGAATCATATTCGTACGGCTCGAATTTATATAACTGATGCTTTAGCACAGTTAACTGAGATCCATCTGGAGGGACCTGTTCGTCAACGATTGCTGACTTTGGCTAAACGAGCCCGTCCCCGTTTCAACTTTGATTTGTGATTCCCCCCCTTTCCCCCCTCTTGAGGTCAATGCTTGCAAATTCCTTTTCTTTTCTGGCCACATCATCTCTCCTGCAAGCAATGCTTGAGCTTTGGCTACCAGGTTTGTCAGCAGATCACTGCTAGGTTGGGGGGAGGTGGACACCGGTGTCTGAGTGCTGGGTTTTCTGTTGGTGCTGGGTATTGACCCATGGGGGGCAGCACTCATGTGGCCTGCTGGTGGCTCTGTTTCACTTAGTGCTGCGGGGTCGTCTTGGCTGTTGTTGCGGGGCGCTTGGCCTTCTTCATCAGATGGTCCTTGCTATGGCAGCCATTCCTTCCCCATGGTACTTGCTGGGTGAAAGACACTTGTCTTTTCACTTTGAACCAACTACCTTCAGAGCACAGCTTTGATCCCAAAAAAGTTGCGGATTCATCTTGAACACTGGCTTGTGGTCCCCCCGTTTTGATAGTGTGAAAGTTGATCCCATCTTTTTGTAGCATTTCCTTTCAAGGGCCTCCTCCCTTCCCCTTCCGCCTTGCATTGGGGGACACCGGTGTCTGAGTGCTGGGTTTTCTGTTGGTGCTGGGTATTGACCCATGGGGGGCAGCACTCATGTGGCCTGCTGGTGGCTCTGTTTCACTTAGTGCTGCGGGGTCGTCTTGGCTGTTGTTGCGGGGCGCTTGGCCTTCTTCATCAGATGGTCCTTGCTATGGCAGCCATTCCTTCCCCATGGTACTTGCTGGGTGAAAGACACTTGTCTTTTCACTTTGAACCAACTACCTTCAGAGCACAGCTTTGATCCCAAAAAAGTTGCGGATTCATCTTGAACACTATATTTAGTTTATCCTAGTTTCATTTCCTTTAGAATTGAGGGAAGGAAGAAGTTTCATGCAATCATCACAGCAGTGTACTCTCAACTGCTGAACTGCAAGTCTGCCTGCAAGGATGAGCGCAGGAATGTCTGACTTCTAGCTCTCTGAGACAGCTAAGTCACTGGTTGGCCAAGACTGAGGGTTTGTTGCTGAGAGGGTACATTTCAGCGTTTTTGCATATGGAAGTTGTGACCAAAATCGCCAACCATTGGATTAGCGATTGTATGACAAAGGACTTGCTCTGCACCTAGCACATCAGCTACGTGTGGGATCTCACCAGCATCAAAGATGCATGGCACTGTTGAGACTTTCCGGATGCATACCTCATCCTAGGAGTCGCTGACTCATGGGGCGGGACTTTCAGCCGTCACATCAAACTGATTTGAATGCTCAACATCTATGGAAAATTCTTGCCCCATTTGTACATAATATATCGAGGAATGGAATGCTCTTCGTCAAAGAAATGACGAAAGAAAAAACATATATAAATTAAATATCAAAATAATAATTAAAGGGCTTCGCCCCCTGCCGCCGACCCCTGGGCATATCTCCCATTGAGCAAAACAGCAGGGCCCTGAAGGACGGACCGAGCCTCCGGGCAACGGCTCCCACTGCTTAACGTTACTAACGTTGTTTTCTGAAGCTACAAGAAAACTAGCTCTCTTCCAGCCGTCAAGGCTCACAAACGGCGCCCTCGCCACAGCAAAACAGCAGGGCCCTGAAGGACGGACCGAGCCTCCGGGCAACGGCTCCCAAACTAGCTTTCTTCCAGCCGTCAAGGCTCACAAACGGCGCCTCCGCCACAGCAAAACAGCAGGGCCCTGAAGGACGGACCGAGCCTCCGGGCAACGGCTCCCACTGCCTAACGTTGCTTTCTGAACCTACAAGAAAACTAGCTCTCTTCCAGCCGTCAAGGCTCACAAACGGCGCCTCCGCCACAGCAAAACAGCAGGGCCCTGAAGGACGGACCGAGCCTCCGGGCAACGGCTCCCACTGCCTAACGTTGCTTTCTGAACCTAGACGAAAACTAGCTCTCTTCTAGCCGTCAAGGCTCACAAACGGCGCCTTCGCCACAGCAAAACAGCAGGGCCCTGAAGGACGGACCGAGCCTCCGGGCAACGGCTCCCAAACTAGCTCTCTTCCAGCCGTCAAGGCTCACAAACGGCGCCTCCGCCACAGCAAAACAGCAGGGCCCTGAAGGACGGACCGAGCCTCCGGGCAACGGCTCCCACTGCCTAACGTTGCTTTCTGAACCTACAAGAAAACTAGCTCTCTTCCAGCCGTCAAGGCTCACAAACGGCGCCCTCGCCACAGCAAAACAGCAGGGCCCTGAAGGACGGACCGAGCCTCCGGGCAACGGCTCCCACTGCCTAACGTTGCTTTCTGAACCTACAAGAAAACTAGCTCTCTTCCAGCCGTCAAGGCTCACAAACGGCGCCCTCGCCACAGCAAAACAGCAGGGCCCTGAAGGACGGACCGAGCCTCCGGGCAACGGCTCCCAAACTAGCTCTCTTCCAGCCGTCAAGGCTCACAAATGGCGCCTCCGCCACGCCCAAACAGCAGGGCCCTGAAGGACGGACCGAGCCTCCGGGCAACGGCTCCCACTGCCTAACGTTGCTTTCTGAACCTACAAGAAAACTAGCTCTCTTCCAGCCGTCCAGGCTCACAAACGGCGCCCTCGCCACAGCAAAACAGCAGGGCCCTGAAGGACGGACCGAGCCTCCGGGCAACGGCTCCCAGTCCCTCTTTCTTCCAGCCGTCAAGGCTCACAAACGGCGCCTCCGCCACGCCCAAACAGCAGGGTCCTGAAGGACGGACCGAGCCTCCGGGCAACGGCTCCCACTGCCTAACGTTGCTTCCTGAACCTACAAGAAAACTAGCTCTCTTCCAGCCGTCAAGGCTCACAAACGGCGCCCTCGCCACAGCAAAACAGCAGGGCCCTGAAGGACGGACCGAGCCTCCGGGCAACGGCTCCCAAACTAGCTCTCTTCCAGCCGTCAAGGCTCACAAACGGCGCCTCCGCCACGCCCAAACAGCAGGGCCCTGAAGGACGGACCGAGCCTCCGGGCAACCGCTCCCACTGCCTAACGTTGCTTTCTGAACCTACAAGAAAACAAGCTCTCTTCCAGCCGTCAAACCTTCAAAAACGCGCCCTTTCCGGCCGTCACAAACATTCAAAAACGGCCGTGAGTGCCTAACGTTGCTTTCTGAACTGCCTAGAAACTAGCTTCAAACCTTGCTGTTTCCTGCCGTCAGCTCGAGTCCAAGGACCCTGTCGCGGGCCTCAAACACCATGGCAGTGAAGGACGGATCGGGCCTGCGGGCCACGGCCGTGAGTGCCTAACGTTGCTTTCTGAACCTACAAGAAAACCTTGCTGTCTGACCCAAAACGGCGCCTGCGCCACAGCCAAACAGCAGGGCCCTGAGGGACGGACCAGGTCTGCCGGTTCAAACCTTGCTGTTTCCTGGCGTCAGCTCGGGTCCAAGGACCCTGTCGCAGGCCTCAAACACCATGGCAGTGAAGGACGGATCGGGCCCGCGGCCGGCAGCCCATACTGCCAAACGTTGCTTTCTGCAGTGCCTAGAAACTAGCTTCAAACTTTGCTTTTCCCTGCGTTCCTGCACTGCCAACTGCCAACTTGCCTGCATTGTCTGACAGCTGGCTTTCGTGCGGCACAGCTCCGGTCAAGTCGAAACTAGCTTCAAACCTTGCTGTGTCTTGCCGTCAGCTCGAGTCCAAGGACCCCTCCGCAGGGCCCCAACACCATGGCACTGAAGGACGGATCGGGCCCGCAGCCGGCAGCCCACGGTGCCAAACGTTGCCTTCTGAACTGCCTAGAAACTAGCTTCAAACCTTGCTTTTCCCTGCCACTTTGCCTGCGTCGTCTTGCAGCTCAAACCTAGCTTTTCCCTGCGTTCCTGCACTGCCAACTGCCAACTTGCCTGCATTGTCTGACAGCTGGCTTTCGTGCGGCACAGCTCCGGTCAAGGGACCTCCTCGCAGGGCTAAAACACCATGGCAGTGAAGGACGGATTGGGCCCGCGGCCCGTAGCCCAGAGTGCCAAACATTACTTTCTGTCGCTCGTTTACTCTTGCTTCTGCATTCTTGCTTCTAACTTCTTGTTTCGTGCTTCTTTCGCTTGCTACGTTCGCTGAGACTGCCCCTCCTTTCTCGCTTCCTTTTTTGAGCTTCTTACTCTGCACCTGGCTTCCCTTTCTGTCCCCCCCTCGCTTGCCCCGCTACGTTCGCTGAGACTGCCCCTCCTTTCTCGCTTCCTTTTTTGGGCTTCTTACTCTGCACCTGGCTTCCCTTTCTGTCCCCCCCTCGCTTGCCCCTCACTTGCACTGCACAACACTTGTTGCTTGTAATCTCTTCTCTGACGCGCTCCCCCTGCTGTCGGCAGGGGTCGGCGGATATATATATATATATATACATAGGTATGTGTATGTATACATATATAGGCTATGGACTAATAGACTATAGATATTATATCTGCACATGTGTCTGGCACCATGGGGCCGCTGCAGTTTGGCATCCCCGTCCCAGAAGAGCCCAACTTCCTGGTGTCGGCCTTGGTCCGATGGGACAGGATCGACATTCGTGGAGATTACCGTTGACCCGATACAGAAATCCATAAGAAATCCATAAAGACATGAACAAAACATGAGAAAAACCACCATTTTCTCTAGATTTTTGATGATTTTATTGATCCATGAGTCACATCATCATTTTTTAGGCATCCATTCATTTTTTGCATCCATTTTTGGAAAATCAGGGTTTCGCCCAGCTGAGCTGATGACCAGGAAAAGATGATTGGCATCCAAGTGACCACAGCGCCTCCAGTGGGCGCAGCCAAGACCACCATGTTGCCGCAGGCGTCGCTGGGACCCCGGGACAATGTGGATTTCTGGTGGTAAAACAGTGGTGAAATGTGGATAACATTGGTGAAAACCATGGTAAAACCATGGTAAAACCCATGGTGAAACACCTTTTTGATCCTTTTTGCATATTATAACACTGTATAACTGTGATCCTTCTGCTGGTTTTTTTCTGTTGTAGATCTTTGCGGCTTGCTGGTGGCCGAATTGGGTTCCCCAGACCCAGCCGGCTTGTGTTGCTACGATATATCCGTGGTCATCCAGTCTTAAATGATATGGGGATGGGTCAAAACCCTGGTACCTAGTGAACCCCAAAATAGCTTGTAAATGGATGTTCATCCCACTAAAAATGTATCTGTAGGTATTGACCCATACCCATATTGAATATCAACCTCTAGTGACTTTCGTGGTATACCAGATGTCACTGCTGACAGCAATCTTGCAGAAAAAAAAAATTGCAGACTCGGTCTAATTTTCAGATTAGGACCCCCATGTTTGATGCGTAATTCCAGGCTGTCTTGTGGGATTGTCTATAGATTGTTCCTTACGACCTTATATATATATAATCTTATATATCCCACATGATCTAATCTCATGTCTTATATGGATATATTTACAGATAAAAAAACATATTGTATATAGATGTATTTGATATATAATATGGATATGCCAATGATTATTGACCTATATATCCTATATGTCCTATATGATATATTTCCATATATCATATATCCATATATCATATATATATATATCCTTATATAGATATATAAGATATATCCAATGATATCCATATATCTACAGCAACTCAAAATTTCTATGGAGATCTCCACCATGGACACCATCCGATGCCCTGCAGGTGACCCTCACCACCCCGGAGAACGTGGCAGTTGCGACGGTCACTTCTGAGGCGCGGGATGTCACAGAACGGAGGATGCCGGAGGTCACCAGAGATGATGGGAGTCACACATGGTCACATCTGTAAATTATATATATAATAAGTTATATATATATTACAATTATGTTACTTAATCATTCTTAGTATTTCTCAACTGTTGTAAATGATAGATGATAAATGATACCCTCTGGTAATTTAACAGTTGGACCCTGAAAATCACCCATTTTTAATGGAAACTAGTCTTCCAACCCCGACAACTGCCAGGGTCTATGTTAATTTACTGTAGGGTAATATATATGTTATCTATATATATATATGGTCACATCTGTAAATTAGACTGTAGTAAATGATCCATAGTAGCAGATGATTACTCTCCAGTAAACTAGACCCTGCCAGGATTTGGAAGATTAATTTCCACTAAAAATGGGTGATTTTCAGGGTCTATGTTAATTTACCAGAGGGTATTATTTATCATCTATCATTTACAACAGTTGAGAAATATTAAGAATGATTAAGTAACATAATTGTAATATATACTATTGTTAATGTTGGATTAGAACTATTAAAACTTGACCATTGGAGTATCTTTTGGTATTGGTAAGACATGTGTTTTGTCAGGCAATTCACTCTAGTTAATAGTATAATAAAATAGACTATCAATTGGATTAGTAGTTATCATCAATTCATGATTATATATTATAGTTGATCGATAGGCACATAATTATCCAGTCAAATGAACCTTTAAAAAATCTATGTTTTGAACTCGATGATTGGATTCTATTTTCACTTGCATTACTGTATAATTATTACATATATATATATAGATGTTTGGATGATAAAACAGTGATAGCTTGCTGATATGTTTAAGACTGGTTGAGGGCCCGCATGCACTGGAGTCGTCCGGTTGGAAGCATGGAACGCCAAGCACAATGGATACACATGGTAGTTTACATTCCAACATGATCTATTCTATTCATTCGCTGAGCGGATGTTCACAAAAAGATACTCTGAGGTACTCTTATCTCAACCTGCAGCAATTCGTCATTAGATATAGGCATTCAAGGCCCATTTCTGTAGGTTGCAAATTATATATAAAGGCCATGGATTAAAAAAAAACGTGTTCCTTTCCGTTTGATGAAAGAGGTGCATCCCTAAATTTTCAACCAGGGTCCTTCCATCGTACCCCCAAGCCTGACCCATCCCCTGTATCAATGGTTGATTTGATCCAAAAATGGAGCCTTAAAATCCACCGGTGAATCGTCATAATTCATAAAGGATGGTAATGTTAATGTTTAATATGTTCAGACAATATGTTCAGACCCAACTTACCTAGTGGTAGTATGTCATAATGCATTCCAAAGTAGGTAAGTGGGTTTGATAACCTATGTATCACTCCATATTAATCCCTTCCTCCTAATACTAAACCCCCCCCTAATACAAAACACGGCAGGTAGTTTTTAGTATTAGGGGGGTATTTATTATTAGGGAACCAAATCGAAGTCATGTTAATTAATTAATTAAATTTCCTTATATAACGCAATTAAAATATTGCCAAAAATGGCAGTTCGAAGCTTACCCCTAATACTAAATTAAAACCCTTAATACTAAAAACTATTTTTTCCGATCTCAAAATCAATTAAATTTCCTTATATAACGCAATTAAAATATTGCCAAAAATGGCAGTTAGAAGCTTACCCCTAATTGCTAGAGTAGCTAGGCAGCTTGGAGTGAGGGATTGGGACTAGGCCCCCCTAATACTAAACACCCCGGGGTGAACTAGTTTTTAGTATTAGGGGGGAGAACCCACAAATGGTAGGTTGATTTTTAAATTGTTTTTAAAAGGGGATCAATTAAAAGTCAAATTGGCCAAACTGAAATTTTCGGAAATTGGAGATGGATGCCTGTTTTTAGTATTAGGGGGACGTTTAGTATTAGGAGGAAGGGATTATATATATACACACACATATAGAACCCCCAAAAAAGATAGGAACTTAGAATCCTGTCAGAATAGCGATACATGACGTTTCTATCTTTTTTGGGGGTTACTATAAATTAAATCTTGGCTTGACTGGGTAGAAATACCCCCATTTGTAAGATATATTGACTGGGTCGAATATGATGATTTTCTACTATACGTAGTATCTTTCAAATCTATGTGGGATTATGTTAATTATGACATATCATATAGTCATCCCCCAAAGGATGCAGAACAGTAAATCTCCACTAAAATAGTGAATATTCACTGAGATTGGCATCTAATTATTTGGGGGTCTCTCTCTCTCTCTCTATACGTGTATATATATATACATACTGCGTTGCAAGCAAATAATGTGGTAAACTCAAACTTATGTGGGTCCATGTTATAGATAATATACACACCCCACATCATTTTCACTGGGTTGTTCCCTGCACCGACTGGGTGCTTTTGAGCGCCAGGTGCGCATGTCACCAGCTACCGGATCGTCGGAGTTCCTGTCCCCTTCCTTTGGACAAACTGCGTGGCTCCTCAGGGAAGCGATCCCCAGAGCCACCAACAAAAAACATGGGATTTAACCAACAAAAAAAGGTGTATAATGGGATATCATGGGAAACTATGATATACACACACACATATATATATATAATATCATACATATATATATATAGGTTTATACATAATACATACATGTGATACAGAATCATCGTGAAGTAGATAGAATATGTAGTGAGATTTTGACATTTCAATATTCTATCTACTCCAGGATGACTGTACATTGAAACACAGCAGCCCCCAAAAAGGATAGAGAAGTAATGCCTACTAAAATAGTGATAACTTACTAAAATGTTAATAGTCATGTTAGGATGAATTCAAAATACTAAATACTACCAGTTTGAGAATCCTCATGCCGCCCTAAGTTTTATTTGGATCTAATCATTGATCATGAAATACCTCCCAATTTCAGGTACCCCAACATTAACGATTCCATACTACTAAACACTACATTCCACCAGGGTTTCATTTGGGGACCAGGGGACACCGGGCTCAGTGCCGCAGATTTTTGTCGACTTGAGGTGACTCTGGGGCAGGGCATTCAATTTATTTGGACAGTGGCAGGGTGCACGCCCGGTCAGGCGGGCCTTTTTTTGGTGACAAAGACGGGTTGGGATTTGCTTCCCAAGATCATCCCTTCTCCCTAATTAACTTCCCTAGAATCAGACATCCTGGTGATTCCTGGTGTATGTAAATAATTGTAAATATAGATACGCACACACACACAATATCGGATCTCTTCATTTTTGGGTCATTGGAACTATTTGGAGCTATTTGATATCGGGTGGGCGGGACTTTTAAAAAACCGTTGCCCTCAGTGCGAGAACCGCGCGGCAGGTGCTGAGCTTTTCTGTGATTCCCATGATGATTCGAAGCAAAGAGTCATTGATGGGCCAGGAGCGGTGTGGAAGCTACAGCAGCAACGGACCTTGAGGGATCACCAAGATGCAATGTAGTATATAATATTTCTTCTTCTCCGCTGTCGACATCATCATCATATATCATATATCATATATCATATATCATATATCATATATCATATATCATCATTCATCATCATCATCATCATCATCATCATCATCATCAGCAACATCATCAACAACATCGATACGAACATCAACAACAAGATCAATACGAACGTCAACAACAACATCAATACGAACATCAATAATATGCACATGAACATGAACATCACCGTCAACATCCATCAACAATTATGACAAACATCATGCCACCTCTGTCCTATCTCCACAGGCCACGAAAACCTCTGCTAGGACCTGTCTAAATTCCGCCGAATCGGAGACATGTACCTCGTTTCTGACTCTGGTTCCACACAGGCCGCTGCTGGACGATGACACTGCGGTTGGGTATGGGTCAACCAGTCAAAGGAGATCATTTCAAGGTATGTTGTAGTTGTACCAATTCCCATTGCGGACTAAACAAGCCGTGCTTGAGCTCCAACGCCAAATGTGGATGTTTCCAACGATGGACCGCAGAATTCGCTGAGGCCATGGCTCTCAGAATACCCACGTCGTATATGGAGGCATTAACTTCATTTAACTTCCATCTTGTCCTTGTGCAAGATGTTGTCCCTATCCTTAAGCCTTAAATCTCATGGGCCTTAGTGGAGGAAGCCCCAAGTCTGGATCAAATTTGGTGTAGGTGCCTGGTTAGTCTTTGTATGTTTTTTGCCATCAATTTCTGAATGTAACTGGAAGTTTTGATATAGCACCCAAGCCTCAAGCAGTATCATTGCAATTCGATATCAATACTCTATGTGCAATGGTCAAACAATCTAAAGCGTATAAAAGATAGAACAGATAGATAGATAAACAGATAGACAGATAGATAGATAGATAGGTAGATAGATAGATAGATAGATAGATAGATATATATAATTATATATATAATTATATAAAATATACCCAATACCCAAGGTTATCAACAATCTACAACAGTATTAGTAACATGGAGCGCCCGAAAAAACCAGCGCTCAGTCTGACGTGTCTGGCACCTGCGACTCCCGCTCTGTACTGAGCGTTCCAGTGCGCCGTGGGGGGATGGGAGCTGGGGAGCGCTGGGGAGCAGCCATGGGATCTGGGATTCCACCAACCAAAAACTGGAGGTCCAGCCAACCAATGAAGGTTTAACATGGTTTAACCAACCAAAACTGGAGGTTTAACCATGTTTCACCAACCCAAAACTGGGATAAAAACCCAAATTCGGGTTTTGAAGCACTGATGGAACTAGCTATGTCCAAAACTGCTGGGAGACCTCCCAAATAGCAAGCTGAATTTGATTACGGAAAATGGTGGTAAACCGCCGGAGTTTACTGTAAAAAATTGGGTCCATGTTTTCAGACAAACCCGTGAATTTGTGGGCTACCTTGCACCAACAGCTATGTGGGGAATCGGGTTGTGTTATGAGCTTCAGCATGCTACATCAGCAATCTCGGGTAATTATGTGTAATGCTAAAGGTTTTGACAGAACAAAATGAACTGCATCATTGTATATCATTGTTATGTAGAGCCCAACCAAGTGGGCCTTGGACCAACAATTATGGGTATGCATGCAGTAGACATAGTGTTTCAGTCTCGCATGAACCGCAATGTTGGATCAACGCACATCGCAGCGACCTGCTTGATGAATCAAAACCAGAGAGTTTGAATGACTCGATGGACTCAATGGACCACTTGACTTTAGCAGATTTACCCTCTGGTAAACTAACGTAACTATGGAAAATCACCATTTTTCAATGGGAAAATCCACTATTTCTATGGCCATTTTCAATAGCTATGTTAAATTACCAGAGGGTAGGGCTCAAGTAGCCCCCAAATCTCCAGAAATCCCATCCAGGCCGAGCAGCTTCCGTGCTCTTTCGCCAAAGAGTTGGCCTTCAATGGTCAAAGTCTCAGTGAAGTCATTGGGGAAAATGGACATCGGCGGCCATGGCTGGTCATGGCTGGTCATGGCTGGGTGAAAATCTATGGAAAATAGATGGAAAATCTATGAAAACCTATGAAAACACCATCCAATTTTGGGGGCGAAGTTTGACCCATCTTGAAAATTATAAAAATACATGAGAGCGCTTACATTCTCAGAAGCTTTCCGAGAATTTTTAGGGCAACTGCTGGAGCTGAGGTCCAGCGTTTACTGAAAATGACAAACTCATCGTGATGGTCACATGGTTGGGGTGCCCAGGTGTGTTGATCTCTCGTGGCGAACAGAAACATACAGATACACTGACTGGGAGTTCCAGATGTTTTTTATCGGTGAATATATGGCTATGGATCAATACCTATTAATACCATTTTTAGGGGGATGAACATCCATTTACCAGCTATTTTGATGTTCACCAGGGGTACAAGGTTTTGACCCATCCCCATATACCGTGAATGCATCCGTGTGTTTCCAAAATTTGACGATCCACCAGAGCCCAGCAAAATTAAGAGCCGCTTGAGGGAAATCCATGGCTTGAGGGCTCTTTCGTTTTTGAAAGATGTATTTTAGGACTCCCAAATCACATAGGATGATCATCATGATCGATCCATCCTTGGGACCATGGAATTTGCCCGTTGACGCCGTGACTCCTTGACTGCGCCGTGTTTCGGGGAGCTGACCAAGCGGCGCAGGCTGACGGAAGGCATGCAGCACAAGATCTACTCGCCGCCTTTCGTGCTCAGTGCAGGAAGGTGTGATGCCCAGCGCCCTGAGCTGTGACTGCTAGATTCGTGATCCCCAGTATATCACCAGTATATCACCAGTATGCTTGGTTAATGTTGACCATATTCCCAGAAGACATTCATTTCTCAATCCATTTCTATGGGGCACTTGGACCACAACTGGCCATACTGCACTTTGGATCATGTCGACTGGAGGCATCCGACTTCTGGGATCTCTATTGAGAATAGGTGTTTCTCAAAAATGGGGCTACCATGGGCCCCAAAAGAACCATGGCTTCACTACTAAGTCCATCTAAGTCCGACTGAGGCCAAATTTTATAGATCATTGGGGTCCATCATTTTACATATTTTCAGAATTTTAAAGAAACACTTCTATGTTTCATTGCATGTGTTTAAGGGACAATTGATAGGACACCGCGGTCCTTTCATGTTTTGCCTGGCACTTTGGACAGGCTTTCCTGTCCGGTTTTGCCAACCATGGCCAGCTGGGAAATCCCCGAACTGAATAGCCATCCATGGCGGATTTTCCAGCCATGTTGAATTGACAGGATACAATTTTAACCCGGTTTTTTTTACCAGCACTTCATTGGGATAAGGTGGTTAAACCAATGTCATAAACTATCCCACATTTATATATATATATATATATCACCATAAATATATAGGTGCTATGAACCATTCCCAGTCAGTAGGTTATGGCCTTGTTTTACCCAGTCAGTATAGCAGTACTTATCTGCCGTGCGCCGGCAGGCGCTTGCGACAGTTGCAGGCTGGCCCAGTGGCGCTGCCGCCAGCCACGGCTGATCCCATGGCGCCACAAAGCGCCCAGCTGTCGGCCACGCCGCCGCCAGCCACACCGGTGAAAGCCACGGATCCGGATGCGGCCAGGAACTCAGGGGCGTTTCTGGGTGGATTCGACTTGGAGACTTGGAGATCTGGAGATGAATCAAAATCTATGATTTTCATTACTATTTTCATTGATTTTGAAATATGTTGATATATTTTGGTGGGATGAAACCTCGATTTGTTGGAAAAGCTAAATGCTGATGTGCTTACGGTGCTCACTTCGACCCTTGTGCAAAGATATGTTTTCCAGGCTAATGGCTGATCTGCGGCGAATCATCCACTTGGTGTTCCCAAAAGACGACAAGCCATCCTCGGACATGCGTCAGCACACCAGAAGTCGTAACATTGATCCCCAAAATGATATCGCATTGGATACATCCTTGATTGTAGTCCCTATGTAGTTCAGAAATCCATATTAATCACTAAACACACGTATTGTATATACGTATATATATATATATGAACAATATGTGAACTGTACATATATAATAGATCCATATCGATTATATACACTGTAATATATACACCCGCAGCTATATCCAACTTGTCACTTGCACCGTTGTTAGCTCGAGCATCTCCACCCTTCAACTGAGGTGCCCCAACCCGGAGCGATGGGCAGCGAAGAATGCAAGCGTCAGGCCTGACACATGATGAATCCATTTAAAGATGGATGTTCATGGTTGATGTTGATGGTTGATGTTCATGTTTATGTTCATCTTAATATTCATATCATATATAAATATATATGTATATATATGTATATATATATTAATATATATTCATATTGATGTTCATGTTGATGATGTTGTTGATGAACTGATTGACTGGTCAGGTTTTTAATGATACCATCCAGTTTTTCTCGGAGATGTACTCGATTTGGAGCCATAAGATCATTTTGATGTTGGGTGAGCATCCCAAAAGTGAGCAGAATAGAATGATGATCTTGGTGTGTGAATGAATAAACCTTCCTTTTTGTTTGATGTCTCAGCTTGACACTATACAGTATACATATGAAACAGTTCGGAGTTTGATAGTTCATCCCTGTTGCCCGATTTTACCCACTTGAACATCAATATGAAACCTTCACTTAAATGGCTTTGAAAGATATTTGCTTCATTAGAAATTGTATCGCAGTGATTTTTTTGGCTTTCATGTTCCATTTTCTGATGACTTTTTCAGGGCAAAGGTCCATGGTTTCGAAAACGGACCATGAAATCAGCGCAGGATTTGCGCTTCAACTTCGGGCAGGGTGCAGAAGCACGCTGCGAGGCCGTGTTGATTGGCCAATTTGAAAACTTCGTTCCCAAAAAAGGAACGGACAAATAGTATAGTATATAAATTATACTTAGAGAAGTTATATGTTTTGTTATGTTTTGTTTTTATAATCTAACAATCTTTATTTCTCTGTATCAGTATGATTATTTCATTTTTCATGATCGTTTTTACGTATTGTTTCTGGTGGGATACGGACATCCGTATGTGTTTCGCAGAGTTCACCAATGTGGACTGACGGAGAACATCGCAGGTTCTGAGCATGGGTGTCCCACAGGCACTGCAGCAGGCAGCATTGGGACGACCCTCCGGTAATAAAAAGCAGTTGCTATGGAAGCCATGGCCCATTCAGTTCGACGATGTTCCTATCCAAATATTTTGAAATACCCTCTGGTTATTTAACAATATTTAACATAGCCATGGAAAATCCCTTATAAATGGAGGTTTTAATGGGAAAATCATCTATAAATTGGCCATTTTCCATGGCTATGTTAAATAACCAGAGGGTATATGAAAATGATGATTTCCCATAGCTATGTTCAATTCGCAGAGGGTATGTGGGGAAGCATCCCCATAGCCGGCCGTATGATTTCGCAGCGATTTTCAGGTCAATGAAAGAATTCAGTCAGGTGACTTTGAGCATACCTGAAAATAGGATTGCCCTAAATCCAGTGATCTATGGTAATTTTCACTATTGAATAGCCATAATTTGGAGGATACACCATTTTCAAATACACCCATATAGACCAAGACTCATCAATGGATCATGGCCAGTCCGCAAACAAAGAACACAAACAGCAATTGTCATAATATCCCCATTGTGATAATATCCCCATATAATGGATAGCAATTGTCTTTGATGTCATGTCATAGCGTTTCATGTGGAAGTTTCATCGAATGTTTCAGAAGTGATGTCTGCTGTATGTTGAAAATCTAATGTTTGTCGGAAAATGGGCTACTCCCAATTCCAATGGATTACCATCATGTTCCGCACGGAATCATCATGGGGCCATCCGGGATTCCGTTTTTTTCATGGGTAGTTTTCATATTCCCAAAAGAACATCCCCATTGAAATGCCATCCCCACTACATCCTCATTTCCATGGATACATACATACCTACACAGAAATATACACAATTTACAAATATCTATGTATTATATATATATATTGATTAATATGTGCAGAAGTCAAATCATAATATCCCCATTGTATCTCCATTCAATCCCCATCAACTCCTAGTGAAAAATCCCATGGCAAAACGCTACGTCGTTGTCCAGAGGACGAGAATCAGCCCGGCAGGACATGCCCATGTACGACGAGCCGGACTCCGGTGAACCAGTCTTTGCAACTCCCTGGCGCAGTGCCGGCGCAGTTATTTGTGAAAGCAGCCGTTTGGGAACTGGGAATGAATGGATAGACAATTTACAATAATAATCATATATATATAATATGCATATTATAGATTATATATATAATATGCATGAATCTTTTTTTTTCAAATAATACCCGTAGCATGATAATATACAACAATACATGATTATAATCCCTCAAGTAGACGAGCAATCCCATCCCATAAACCACTCCCTAAATGATCGCAATGCAAATGTGTGGTTTCATCCCCTACTAAAACATGTCTTTCCCATTCTTCCCCCAAACCAAATCTGTTAGTGATTGAAGTTAGGGGAATTTCATGTTCAGAACATTTTCCTTAAGAAAAGCCATGGGTTTTCCACATCTTTTTGTCTGTTTGGCCGCCAGAAGCGATGGGGGGCAATCAGCCAGCCATGGAGGCGAAGGCGCCGAGATCTGAGGTTGATACTTAAGTGATACCCCAATAATCTGGGTAAATTATAACGACCTCACTGGTCTCCCTCACTGAAATTCATGGTTTATGTTAGGGAAATCATCCCCAAATGGCCGCAAGATTCAGGTTAGTGAAATATTATGGCCTTTACCCAGAATAATGGATGGGTTATTATCACTATGAAAATTAGGAAACGTGATACCACTTATTTAATGACCCCAGAAACTGCCGTGGCACTGGTCATGTCCAAAAAAGTAGACATTCGTCTAATTGTTGGGTGCTTATTGGTGGTTAATGTTGACTGATAGCCACAGGGCCCTATACAGCATGGAGTTGGTTGGCTTGATATTTAACCCCTGAGCCACTCCCCAAAACCCACCAAAAAATAGATGTTCCGCTCAAGATTATGATGATGATGGCTAAACGATATATAGATGCTATAGGCTATAGTGTACTTCTTCCGAGTATATATGATGATTGTGATTATGTTTATTATTCTGTCAAATGGAACAATCATCATAATTATCATGATATTGTAAAGATAATTACAGTAATGATTTCAATGATTATGATGATTATTCCATGATTAGTATGCAATAATTAGATGACTATATATACACACAGTAGTGTACTTCTTCCAATCATGATGACGATTATGATGATTCTGATGATCATGATGATTATGATCATTGTGCCGTCCATGTTATCATATCGGTCCGGTATACGGTATAGCATAGCCATCATCAACGCATCAACGCTTAGTCCCTCCTGACGTTTTCCGGTAGGACTTCCTACCGGACGGCGCCTGCGAAATGGGTATGTGCGACACGATGTTGCCTGGATGCCGCGAGGCTGGGCATGTTTTGTTCATGGCCATTGGCTCAAGTTTTTATGCAGCAAAATGTGATGATTGCTGGTGATTTAATGGAATTTGAAGAACATAGTGGGATTTAATGGGATTTAGATACCCTCGCATAACTTAACAGTTGGCAGTGGAAGCCCCGGCAACAAATAGTTCGATGGATTTACTATGATTTACTATGATTTACCTATAAAGAAATAGTGATTTTCCATAGCTAAGCGAAATAACCAGAGGTCAGAGCGTGCTTGAAATGTAAATTGGTGTTATCAAGACTTGCATGAGTTTCGATACTAAGAAATAAAATGTGAAAAGGCATTTTTGGCTCCTTTGGCACATAATTTTTAGCCCAGTCTCCATATCATGTTACGAAAGGTCGGAAGTGGACGATATTACAGTGATGTGTGGCAAAATTAAATAATTACCCTCTACCACGAAGTGTCTAAGATCCCCCCTGGGGATCACTCCCAGGGTTCTAGAATGGGGATCGCGCGCAATTCTAGACCTTTGACCTCCCCCCATTGTAGACCTTTGGAGGTTTTGGTTCCTAGAATGTCTTGTGGTATATTGTAATGTGCCACCTCCGATATTCATGGACCATCCGGAACTAGGTAAGTTGTTTTTAAAGCACACAAATGTCCTGGACAGAAAGCTTCCTATGCGGAAACTATGATTGATATCTCTGGGAGGGAGTTCGGTATTAAGTTGGGACTTCTGCTTGGGATTAGAATCTGAATTGCTTTCAGGCTGTTTTTTTTTGCATGGTTCTGTTGGAGCATAAGACCCAGTGGCTTCCATTCAATCTTAGGTTCTTGATTACCCCAGTTCACTCCGAAGGTTTATGTTCACATGGGTCATGGATATGAAATTGTCGCTTTGGCTGCGCAATCTCCTGAACAAAAACATGCAAAATGCATAAACGCGGATAAAAAAAAACAGGATGCCAGGTACCATTCACCAATGCAACAAGAGGTCCTGAAATGATATCTCCCAACCCATTCTGTGTATTTATCTTCACCAGGCCCATAGATATGAACTTAGACCCGCCATTCCTGTACAACCCTCTTAGCCAAAATGTGAATACAATATGATTTATTACTCGGAAACGGTTGAATTTGACACAAAATTCTGAAATGATATCTCCCAACTCATTCTGTGGATTTATCTTCACAAGGGCCATACATATGAATTTAGACCCACCATTCCTATACAACCTTCCGAACAAAAATGAAGAAACCAATTTGATTTATTACTCGGAAATGGTTGAGATTTACACAAAATTATGAAATGATATCTCCCAACTGATTCTGTGGCTTTATCTTCACAAGGGCCATAGATATGGACTTAGACCCCCCAATCCTGCAAAATCCCTGAACAAAAATGAACAAAAACAATTTGATTCATCAACCGAAAGGTGTTGGGTGCCAGAAAGTTCTTTAAAAAACAGATTAAAACATATTTAAATCTATTTGAAATATTGCCAAAAAATGTCTTACCGACGACGCTTTCCCCTGACAACTATATCGAAACCTTAAGTACTAATCAAGGAATGAAATGATCGTCAGGGACGCGAATAATAAACAGTCCCCAGCCCTATTTTTATTCTTTAGGGGGATTAGCGCGGGAGCAAAGGAAACAGGCAGATAATTGAGCTTGTGAGATTGTGGGTTTTGCTTGGATGCAATTTTTGATCTTTTTTTTGACAACAGAAAGGCTCCAAAATGAAGGGGTTCTAGGATCGTCATAAGCTTGATTTCTGAAGATTTGATTCCAGAACCCTCCCAAAACAAGCTGCCAAAGGTCTAAAAGCAATTCGTTGATCCCCAGGCCCCCCTGGGAAAATCATTTCAGGCACCTTTTTGAGGGTCTAAAATCTTCCTCAAGGGTCCCTGCTCGTATTTGAGGGTATAAACTTAACGGACATGGCGGACATGGCAAGTTTGATCTGCGGTGTCTTACTGATCCTTCTTGTTCGCTTTCAAAATCTATCATCAGCTAATTAATTTTTATCACTATCCAAACAGTTTTTTGCAGGATATATCCATATTGGGGATTGAACTGCCCTTCACCTGAAAACTGTCAGGCACAGTTCAAGAGTCTGTACTTCCCAAGACTTGTCTTCAACTTCAGCAGGCCTGCTGGGTGCATGTGGGTGCTGCAAGCTGCTGATTATTTTTTGCTTGAAACTAACCTTTTTACATATGACCACATGATAGGGTCGGCGAAAGATTGGAGGGTGGAATTCCACCAAAACGACCATCCTGCGAAAAAGAGTCCGGTATTTGGATCTAAGATCAACTGCTTCAACCTGGGAGATGTTCCAATCAACAAGCGTAACCAGCTTGTGAGCAGCTGGGGCCTTCCTGGCATTTCCGGCCTAGGCCTATGTACTATGAGAACAACACCAACAACAGCCAGTCGGGGACCCAGTTTGGCGATCAATCCAATCGTCATCACTTCGAGTGCCGTTATGATTCAATGATGTTCGATTTACGTATCCTTCAGTATTCAAACATAGAGAATTCAAGAATGACCAGAATTCTTTTCTCGCAAAAGCTCAAGGTAATTTTTTGTTGTTCTTTTTCTCGTGACTTAGTGTCTCTCAGTATTTCATCTGATTTCTTGGTGTTTCCTCTCAACACATACCGTTCAAATTAATGATCTTCAGTCATGGTGGGTTAAACGTCCACATCTATGTGGACGTTTACCCTCCTGTGAATAGTTTTATATATACTATCCAAATACCATCCATTCAATATCATTTCACAGTGATTCAGTTTCCCATTGTCATTTCAGGAAACTATGTATATATAAACCTCCAAGTTTCATCAAATTTCATAGCATAACCATGCATAACCTCGATTTACTTCGCTTCCCATCATTCAAAGGATTGGATTAAGTGAACATCTACAGGAAAGTCCCGTACTTAATGGGAAAATCGATGGTTTCCGGTTAAGATTTTCCCTTCTACCAATCCAATGGATTCAATGGATCATGGTTAAACCATGGCCAACCAATGGTTAACCCGGTAATTTAACATAGCTATTGAAAAGTATTGAACATGGCCAGTAGAAATAGATAGAAATACCATGATTTACCATGATTTACCATGATTTTCCCATTAAAAATGCTGATTTTCCAGCTCGCTATGTGAGTTTACCAGAGGGTCACCCTCCATTTTTTGCGGAGGACCACGCAGATGATCAAGGAAGCCATGGCCTGGGCGTTCTCGGCGATGCCCGAGGCACTGGCTGTTGAACAGGGGATGGATGATATATATATATATTATTTATACATATATCCTATGTGATTTACCTTATAAATGGAGGTTTTAATGGGAAAATCCTAACAATTACTAACCTATACCCTCTGGTTATTTAACATAGCCATGGTATAGATGGCCCATAGAAATAGATGGTTTAGCTACTAAAAATGGTGATTTTCCATGGCGAACTGTTAAATAACCAGAGGGTATACTATGAGCTATGGTCAATACTCATGGTTAATAACCATTAAAAGCGGGGCTAGTCATCCAATGGTGATTTAATGGGATTTATAATAACCATTATTTTTGGATCCTTATTATGGATGGGATGACCATCAACCATATAGTGAGTATTGACCATGGCTCATATATATATATATATCCTATGTGATTTACCATAATATGTCATAGAAGGGGTGTTGTTTTCTATCGGACTATCCAAATTTCTATCTATGCTGGTAAAAGCAAGAATAAACTACCCCATTTTAATTGTATATATCTATAGTATATGGGATTTACCATGTTCAACAATAGATATTATGATAGTATATCAACAATATTGTTTATTATAATGATATGTATATCTATCATGATACAACAATAATATATAGTATATCTCTATAGTATATGGGATTTACCATGATGTATATTTCAATGTTGGTAAAACAAGAATAAACTACCCCATTTGGGAATGGTTTCGGTTTCTACCACCCATAGAGATGGTGATGATTGGGGGATGGTTTATTATTGTTTTACCCACATTATGGGATTTACCATGATTGTATCTATCATGATACACAAATAGTATATGTATCATGGATGATGTATTTGTTGTTGGATAGAACGTGTTGATTTAGGATATATCATGGTATACGTAATAATAAATATATGCATATGTAGCCAACACGATTATCATGGAGCGCAAGATTCTATAGCCAACACTAGTGGGATAATTTTCATGATAATTGATGGTAATGTATAAAGATCAGGAAATTGGGGTGTTTCTTTGACCCCGGATCTGATTACAAACATCAGCCAACTCTCCCACTGCGAAAACCAAAGCACAGCATCTTTGAGTATCTACAACACCCCCAAATGGTAAGCATTGGGATCATAGTGATTCTTCTTGGTCAATTGGGTTTACACAGCTTATGTATCTTCCCCAAGAAACCCAACCTGGGTTTTGTTTTGGAGCATTGAATCTTCGGAGGATGGGATTATGAACCCTGATCACACCTTTATATCAAGTTATATCCCATCTTATATGGCTATATATATATATATATATGTACATACATATATGAACATACATATATGTACACACACACACATATATATATATATATATACACATGTACATATGTATATATATATATATCATTCCATATTGATAGTTAAATCCCCATCATCTCCATGTTTTAGCCATGCATCGCGCTGTGAGTTTCAGGCTATCCAGGTGGCCCTGCAGGAATTGGAACAGCGGGAGAAGGAATTGAAACAGCAGGCACCTTGGAGGGTTCCATCGGTTCCATGGCAGCGAGGCAACCCAAAATATGTTGGGGGATGATTCATCAATGATGCTGGGTGAGCATAATTTAGTAAAATCATGCAAAATCCCCCTGATCTTCATTTGTTTACTAAAATGATAATCATTTAGTAATTTACATAATTTAGTAAAATCACCCAATTTGTTGTTTCATGGTCACCACTTGCTGATCACATGGGTGCTGTTTCATGGTATCGGACATGAAACCATCCAATCGGCTGTGCCAGACTGCTGTGCCCAACTATGGCTTTGGCAACTATGGGCAGCCCAATCAGCAGAATCAGTATGGCTTCAATGCTGGTCAGACGCTGAGCAATACACTCAGGTTGATGCAAGTTGAAGCGCAGCTTTCGCTCAGATGTCTCAGCACCAAGATGTCTCGAATCTGATCAAAATAGGAACATTTGATCTTGCCAGGTGCTCATTCAGCTTGAGATTCGCCATTTTTCCACTTCGCCACCAACTTTGATCCCCCAGTTCGCACAGCGGGCCCAGCGTTACAATTTGAGGCCAGCAAAACAACTGGTTCAACCAGCCGCAGGCAAGTGGATCCACACAGCAGGCCCGCATTGAAAAATCCGGGTCACGATTCTGCAGGGTGAAATCAAATCTGATGTGGGCAATGCCGCAAGTACTGGTGTATAGAAATTATCAATACCATCTGGTTATTTAACATAGCCATTGAAAATCACAATTTTTAATAAAAGTAAACCATCTACAAATGGGCCATGTTCCATGGCTATATTAAATCACCAGAGGGTATATAATATTATTGTGTTATTTCTGGATAAAGTACAGTATAAGCCGAATAGCTATTTAAAAAAAAGATTGATTCTTATCGATGATTTTGATAATCTGAACAATTATCATATAGTAATTAGTAATTATGCTTATATGATAATAGTATCCGTTATCAATAATGAATATTTATATAGGTATATAACCCAATAATATATTCAATAGTATCTGATCATGTGGTAAAGCCAATGTCATAGTCACCATCCCCAAAAGAGGTTTCTGAAATTGAGTATACCCCTATGACTGGGAAGATGTTGATTATGACTCCCAGTCATGGTCGGTGAACGGGATGGTTTTTGGGAGTTGGTTGGCCGCGTGCCCAAAACATCCCAAAACCACATCTGGAATACTAAGGATCCGGATAACTCAGGTCCTGTGCTTGCAATATCCACGGTAGTGCACGTGCTCAAAGTTTTCCTCTTTGAGATTAATTTATGAAAGTGGTTTGCTCTTTTGAACACCAATGTTTTTTGGGAGAAATGCTGTAGAGAGGCCGGTTTCACGCAACTGTACACCATCATTTAATAATTAATGTTTACATTCAACGGTGGGAAAAGCACATCTATGCTTTCGAATGGTTTGTTTTCATCTCTCCGATACTCCCGGTTGAGCTTGATATTTGGGTTTGTCAGTGATTATCATAGAGTACCCCAGAATCTCCTGGTGTATCACTTGTTCCCATCATTGAGAAAACTAGTCAGGGTATTCCACCATTGTTGGACAGACCCTCACCCAAATCATGATGTTCATTGGTATGTTGGTGATGCTATCCCATGATATTCCCAGTAAATGCCGCTGGTTTTTTTGCTGTTGGCGCCAGATGCCTCAAGCTTTCGGTAAATGGTGGAACACGCAGAGAAGGTGAGGAGTGGCCGTCGACACCCCCGTTGATGATATTTGAGTTTCGAAAGGGGCTTTAACCACGAAAATCTTGAAATTCCTTGGATATAACTGATAGATGATGGTTGGTTGATGATTATATGGGATGGTTCTACCCAAGATATTTGGCATGATCATAATCCATGATGGGAATCCAAAAAATAAGTAGTATAAAGGCACGACGTTGCGGGCTTCGATGAAAATGATATGTGGAATGTTGGGGGTTTTGAACCCCAACAAATTATAAACATGACTGGGAATTTCCGGAACAAACCCTGGGGATATGAACGAAATTTGGAAAGATGGATCTGAGACAATTTATCACTTTGGTTGACATTTGGCCTTCTACTGGGACATCGTTGGTTTGGATTGGATAGTGGGTGATTCTTGGGTTATGCACCAGCAAAATTCCCAGATAGTCAGATAGTCATTGGCTGAGCTGCACCATGGCATGCCAGAAATTTCCCTCCAACATTTGGGGTACTCAATAGCTTGCCTCCTAATTCTGCAGAAGACTGAACAAACATAGTTTTCCGTTGTGGGTCAACATTTGGCTGCCCACAATTTTCGGATCCAAATTGGGTTTTTTTCAGAGTGTGGTAAACTCAACAATAAATGTTCAACGTTGGAGGATTCATAAAACACCGATTTCTGGTGAAATTGGGGATGGTTTATGGCATTGGGTTTACCATGTTTACCTTATTATGATTGTCAGTAGTTTCATCCAATGCATTCCATTAAATTATATATATACATAGCAATCCCCAAAAAGATAGAAGAGTGACATTTGAATCCAACATAGTGATGAAAATAACCTGTACATATATATATACACATATCCCTATTATGATCGCCGCTAAATGTCTGTTGTCTTGGCGGAGCCAGGTTGACTGCCCAGCGGATGGGTGTGGATTCTGCCAGGGACCCAAGGGGCCTCTGAGGGGCCTCTGATCCGATTTCCCTTGTCATTGCTGATTGATAGTTTGTTGATGAGCTTCTTGTTTGCTTCTTTGCTGATTTCCAGTTTTTTTTTGGGGGGTTAATTTCCAGTTTTTTTATGGGGTTCCCCACTATTCTCCAGCGTTGCAGTGAGAAAAGCGCCCAGGAGGGACATTCTGTCGAGATGCCATCAAAATTGATGTCACATCAGGTGCCTGGGGGGAAGGCTGAGAGGGTCATAGCTGGTGGGTACTGTACTCCTTTGATCAAGGGATGATTGGGATATATAGGATCTTCTCAGATTGAGATGTTGAAAGCTGTTGAAAGCCCCAATCGCAGGCGGAAATTCGCTTCCAGCATGGTTTGCCTTACAGAATTACGCACGACGTTGTGAGGAAGATGATCAAGCAAGGCAGGGAGCTTCAAGATTTGGCTCAGAGTTGAAACGGAGCTCTCAAGCTGTTTACTGTAATATCAATGTTGGTAATATCATCCTGATATTCCCATTCTATCCTCACTATGATTGATTTTGGATAATTATAGTCATATCATATTATCATGTTATATCCCCATAAGTAATCGTTAGTAATCAGTAGTATACCCATTAATCACTCATCTTACCGTGAATACATATCCCCATATCAGAAATCCCATGATTCACACCCCCGACCATCCAGGTATGATCCCCGTGGATGACGGCAAGAGCAAGGACCTCGGCGATCTGAACATCATAGGGTCCGGGGCCTCGGTCATGGCCATGGGAAAACATGGCCCAGGTTCCTGGGGAAACACTTCGGGAAAGTGTTGAAAATTACTCCATTTGGCGATGGTGAAGGTCAAATCATATCCATATCCCATTTGTTTCGAGTTTGATGACGCTACAAATCCGGGTCAAATCCGAATGAAATCCTCGCTGTCGAGGTTCTACCTTGATGAAGATCTTGGAGACGACCAGATCTCCTTCGACTCCTCTCCGCCTGCAGGAGAAGATTCTGATAAGAAAACCTCAAAGTTCCGAACCCCAGAACCAAGCCTGATATAGGTTGATATTGGGGAAACCATTGAATTTCATCCATTTCATGGCCACCAGATTTGGGATTTTAATAGAGAATGTTGGGCATGTGATGGCCCTGGGGTGAAGTTGATTCAGAGCCAGGATGGGCCGTTGCAGCTCTGGCGGCGCAGGGCTCAGACATTGGATGCTGAGCGGATTTTCCATTGGAGATCAGGTACGGTTTTGGAGATCCCTCGGACAAAAGCAAGGGAATGGCTCCAAAATTCTGTATGCAAGCACAGTGGCTGATGGTTTCTGTTATTGATTGTAGGACCCCCCAAAAGAATCCAAAAGATAGATACGTAAAATCCTACCAAACCAGTGTTTGGGAGGTTGCTGTACAAAAATCCTTCAGTTTGGAGGTCTTTTTCGCGGCCGGGTAACAGTTGAGCTATCCATGGCTATCCCAAGTCCAATTTTTGTCATTTTTGTCCATTGTTTAATGACTTATAGTAACCAGTAACCGCCAAATAGACAGTGAAATCCTACTAAGATAGTGATCATCGAATCTTTTCGATCTTTTTTGGGCTAACCACCAATCTATATCATTTTATATATATATATATGTATATATATATATATATCCTCTGGTTATTTAACATAGCCATGGAACATGGCCCATTTATAGATGATTTTCCCAGCTAGAAACCTCTATTTATAATATTTTTTCATGGATTTTCCATGGCTATGTTAAATAACCAGAGGGTATTTTTTTTATGGGTTAATATGGATAATTATGGGTCAATATATATATATATATATTTATACAAGGTAATAACTATCATTAACCAATATCATTCACCATCATTAACCATCATTAACCATTATAAAATACAAATATCCAATATATATCCCATATATTAAACAACACCAGGCGAGCGCCGCAGTGGCGGCTCTACTTAGTACTGCGGTCGCGGCACCTTGGCGGATCCGCGCTTTGGTCATGTTCCGATTCCCATGGGAAGAACATCTCTCTCAACTTGTATATATCATATATATATATATACAACAGCTATATGTATACATAACTATACATAACTATATATATAATAGTGTATACATATATATATATTATTATACATATATATATATTATTATATATATTATATCTATATTATATATGATATACACAAATGATTTGGGAACAACAAAAACAAGCACAGCATATCTGGAACATCATCCCTTTAACCTGATGATTTCAAATGTTTTTGTGCTTGTTGTGGTTCATCAACCATATATATATATATATATCATATCTAGCAGGCTTTCATTCCCACACAACTGCGGAGGGCCACAAGCATATGTCTTCTATGGACTTGCCATGCCCAAAATTACTCTTGGGAAAGATGATAGGGGTGACCGATTTTACACATTTAAGCTTTGTATAACCATTTTGAAACACATCTACAGAATGTGGTAACCCATGTGATAAACCATCCCCAATATCTCTATACTATTATACGGTTGGGATTCAAATCATCTCCAAATGGTAGTGATTTATGGCGGTTTACCACATAAACCAATAGCAATTCGTGGAGATATGATATACAGGTGGTCGTGCTGCGCTCCCGATGGCACACTGCCACTGGTTGGCTCCTTAGTTCGAGTCGCATCAGAAAGTATCACACTTTGACCACGCTGGAAGCTGAAGGTTTAGGCTTTGGAGCAAAAATAGTATTTGGAGCTGGGCAAAACATCACTAGTCACTTCAAAACCTGAAGTTGTGGATGTTTCACTCCAATTCTCTTCAGAGCTTTTCTCACGGATTGCAGCCGCATGAAACTTTTGATCCAGGCTATGAGGTGCCGCTGCAAGCAAAGGAACCAGAGCAGTGCGAAGTAGGCCAGCAGGGATTCAGGTCTAAGAGGTCTGGGGTGCCTCATAGCTGGATGACAGCTGGGCTCCCGGTATATTGGGTACCAAAAAAAAGCCAGTGGTCAATCAGGACAATGCTGAGTGGCTGATGAACTGCTCTCCAGTAAACTAACAGTTTGCTATGGAAAATCCACTATTTATAGATGATTTAAAAGTTAAACATGGTGATTTTCCATATTTGCTATAGCTATATTTGTTAGTTTACTAGAGGGTAGTCTAGTCGTCCTTTTTCAAAGCCATAGCCGCTGCCTGTTTCCTTGCGAAGGCCTGGAGTGAGCGCAAATGGCAAGACTTGTCGGAGACCAAGCTGGTCATTCTCGATGCCAGGGATGTTCAGGGTCAAATGGATTGACCTGAACAGCGCCATGAAGCACTGCTGTTTACTGTGTTTGCTGAGGCCAAAAGCGCGTTTAATTCAGTGCAGTTTGTTGAGGTCTTAGTCTCTTTGAGGTCTGGATGTTTCAGAAATGACTGAATTGCAATGTGTTCTGATTCTCATATTGCAGATGTAATCGTGATGATGCGGGAATCGGAGACTTCTGAATTCATCAAACAGATTCAAACAGTTTGTGACAGCCAGACAGGCACCCAGTGGACATGTCCCAAAATTTGGATATCCACCCGATTTTTGGATGGTTGATGCTCAATCACCATTTCAATAAAATTAGCTTTGAGGGTAAATCCCCCATTTTCAGACACACCCAAGTCTCCAAGGTTTCACTTCGTCCTCTTCTCTTTTTGTGCTCTCTTTTTGTGCTCGGTGGGTTCGGCTGCAGTCGTCGCTTCGGCGCGACGTGGCCGTGAAAAAAAGTCACACCTGCCATTTATGGAGGACGCTGTGGATCCACAGCTCCGAATTTGGTCCTGGTTGGTGCTTGAAACACCCGATTTTCCATGAAATTTGGGACATTTTGCGACCATTTTCCATCGAACATGAGTATGTATTTTTTCAAAAATTATTTGGTATCCTGCAAATGGTGGGGGTAGGCCTCTATTGTGAGTTTTTTTTCTCAGATCCATTTTTTTCAGGAGGAGCTTTATCCACCTTTATACACCTTTCTGTGGGTAAAGATGGTCCATTTACTTTAGAAAACCATATCCATTTTAAATCTTAAATGCAAGGTTCCCCAAATAATTAGATGCCTTTTTAAACCATAATGCAAAAACCGCACCCAAACAATTTTTCAAGGGGGTACCTCATGAGTGACCCAGATCCTCAAGAATGTAATTGTTTGGATGGTACCCTATTGTGCACAAAAACTTTTGGGGTGACTTTTTTCAGATTTAAAAGGAACATCAATTGAAAGTAGATTCAAATGAATTGAAAGTAATTTGATTTCAATTGAAATCCTTTCTTATCAATAGATTTCTTTGTGGTTTAAAAGGAGAAACAATTGAACGTAGATTGATTTCAATTGAAATCCTTACTTAAGTTGATAATCCTGAGTTCCCCAGACCTGGTCCCCAAGAAAATGCCGAGTTAATGAGTAAACCAAAATTGTTTGAGGGGCCCCCCCCCACACTAATCAGTATCCAACATTATGATATATATATATATGTATGTATATTGTATATATAATATAATATATATATATGTATTATATATATAATATTATATATATAATATAATATAATATAATATAATATATATAATATATATAATATAATATATATATAATATGATATATATATAATATAATATATATATATATATATATTATATTATATATTATATATCATATATTATATAATTATATATTATATATTATATATTATATTATATATAATATATAATATAATATAATATATATATAATATATAATATATATATATATATATATAATATATAATATATATATAATATATATATATAATATATAATATATAATATATAATATAATATATATATATAAGCAACTACAAGTATATATGATTACAGTTCACCACCAACTAGCCACCCGCGAAGAGATTGCTGAGCGTGTGGCCGCTGCGGCGAGCCGCTGTAGCTTCAAAAGCAGCATCTCTGAAGCCCAGGGTCCGGAAATCCGACTGGAAAAATCATGAAACCTCCATGTGGGGATGGGTCAAAACCCTGGTACCTAGTGTCCTCAGCGGTACCAATGGCACTGGAACATGGGTCATTTTGAGTGTTACTCAACTAACATAGCTATGGAATGCTATGGAAAAATATGGCTATGGATCAATACCTATATAGATACATTTTTAGGGGAATGAACATCCATTTACCAGCTATTTTGATGTGAACTACAGGGGTACAAGGTTTTGACACACTGCCATGTCTAGACGATGGGAAGACATGGGAAAAGGCCCCTGAAAATACGAGTGGAAGCCAACTCCGTGACCCGCCGCCCGCCGAAGCGCTAGGCCGGCTTCAGTACAGTGCGACGGCCGATGGTTCGATATGTACCATTTAATGAAAACCAGCGCGACACCAAAAAGGGGCACGTGCTGATGCTTCCCAGACATGATTTGTATCGATTTGAGTCGGAAGCCAAGAAGAAATAGATGGTAATTAAAGAGTAATTAATGATAATTTATGCCTATTGACCCATCATTTCCTAGCAACATTTTACCCTTGTTCATCCTGTTTCATCAAGTCAGGTGAGAAAAACAATTGGTTTCAGGTCCAGCCATTGGATCCCAGCGAGGTTCAATCTTCCATCGAAAACGCATTGCTTGCCTCATCATCCTTGAGGTCAGCCAGAGGGCCTCGGAAGATGATGGGCTAGGGGTGCCCAATTTTTCGGGGATTGGATTCCTTTCATCAATAATCAAGGATTTAATAAGATTTCTAAGCCAAAGCCACGTGTTTTCCCGAACACAATGACATAATGATCTGGTTGGTGGTTTCAAACATTTTTTATTTTCCATTTCATGGGATTTCCATCCTTCCCATTGAGGAACTCCATCATTTTTCAAGATGGTTATTGCACCACCAACCAGTGATCGTTGTTGTATGTTGTCACATTTCCCAAATTTCATGGATCCCATGGATCCCATGGTTCCCATTCAGATGGGAATGTCATGGAATGTCAACTGACGAAGTCCATGATTTTTCTGAGGGGTAGGGCCGTAGGGCTCAACCACCAACCAGTCATAAATCATAAACCACCCATATTTTGAGGACTCTGGAGCTGACCACATCGCAGAAGTTGGCGTCCTGTACTCAGTGGTCCCTCTGGGTGTTTCTCAAAATGGGGGATCCCCAACCCCCCATGGATTTCAATACGAGTGTAGTACAATGGTCTAACGAGTCTAACTATGACTTGGATGATGAAATGGGTATCCGCATTTCAACCTCCAAATCATGTTGTGGAGATAAAGGTGTCACAAGTATGGGTCAATACCTGTAATCCACTGCTGAAACCAGCCTTAAATAACTGGTCAATATGCATGGTACAACGAGTTTTGATCCATACCCGTTTTTGGAGGAAGGAAAGGCACCACATGTGCGCACATGTAGTTCATTCTGTTGGTGAAGGATGGTGAAGGATGGAAGCTAGCGCCTGATTTTTTACTGTTCTTCTGAGTGACAACCGTCGCTTGTGTACCCAGGATTCTTCGTCAATTCCCGAAGTGCGAAAGAACATCAGCGGGACAGCATCCCTTTCCAATCAACCACAAATGGGAAGTTGGGAACAGAAATTAATTACTGTATAGCTGATTTACCCACAAAAACTGGTGCTTTTCCATAGGTGTGAGTTGTCAGCATCTTGCCTTCAACCATGTGCTCTAAGGATTCAGAATCTATCACTGAGGTTCATCCGCGGACGTGACAGCTCGAGGGGCGCATTAGGGCAAAAAGCCGTGCGTCATTTGCGACTTACTTGTGATTTCCCATCTTTGGACTGTTGCCACTGTTGACCACCAACAGTGGTAGCGGCAGCCTGCGGTTGAATGAGTGGCTCCGCTGATGGCGAGGCGCTTGCTGTGGCGAATGGTGCTGCGGCTGAAGGCGGATGGCGAGATAAGGATCCGCCTCCGCAGTTCTCAGGAGAACCTGAGGATTTCAAGGAGTTTCTCCGGGACTTAGAGATCTGGAGACATGAGACAGAGATTCCAAGCAAGAAGCACGGGGCAAAGCTGATCCGAAGTTTGCGAGGGCCAGCTAAAGCGGTGTGCAATGAGATAGAGATAGAAGTCCTGCTGTCAGAGGCTGGATATGAAGCGGTGATCAAAAAGCTGAAAGAGTTCTATCAGCCGCACATGGAGCAAGCCATGCCTAGGGCGTTTGAACGAGCCATCTACGGAGAGCCTAGAAAGGCTAAGGAGGGCTTTGGGGAATTTGTGGTGAGGCAAGAAGGTCTTTTCAGAGCTCTTGCAGAAGAGGGCATCAAGTTGGAAGACACTGTCAAGGGATATGTGTTATTCCGTCAGTCCAATCTTTCTGCTGCTCAGGAGGACCAGATCACCACGTGGACCCAAGGCACGTATGGCAGGGCTGAAGTCATCCGTGCACTTCGAAAGCTAGAAAAAGTCACCAAAGAGAAGTCTGGTAAACACTACATGACTGATGATGTAGAGTACCAGGCGACTGAAGAGCGCGAGGGCACAGATGAAGATAGTGATGGAGAGTACGTGTACATAGGCGAACATGATTTGTCTAGAGTGTATGATGAGAAAGAAATTTCAGAGGCTTTAGCCACCTATCAGCAAGTTCGTCGGGCCATCAAAGATCAGAAGAACAGTAGGGGCTATTTTCAGCCAAAAGGCGCTGCGTCTGCCAAAGGCGGCGCAGCCGGCTCTGGAAAGGGTTTCAAAGGGTCAGGCATCAAGACCGGTGCCAAAGGCACACGAGTTCATGTTGACCTGCTGAAATTGCGCACTCGTTGCGCCAGATGCGGACAGGTAGGGCACTGGGCGCGTGAGTGCGCCAATGAACCTGACGCTCGTGCCAAGGCAAAAGCTGAGTCATCTAGCTCCAAGACTGGATTCTTTGAGGTGGGGGAAGTGAGCCCATCCAGTTCTCAACATCAATGTTTTCACGTCACCTTGGGGCAGTTCCTGTCAAAGAATGAGCAGTTGATTGACAATGACAAGGAGATCTTCACTGGATTGGCCACTGACCCAACTCTTGGAATCGTAGACACTGCGGCGCAGGGTGGGTTGATCGGCAAAGCTGCGTTGGATAGGTTGCAGAGTCAGTTGAAGCAACATGGTTTGAGAATCAAGTGGTCAGACAAGGTAGCGCAGGCAAAAGGAATAGGAGGTGAAGCTCAAGTTGTTGGAGTTGCAGAGATTCCAGTTGGAGTAGGAGGCATCAACGGACTCGTAGAAGTGACAGTGGTTCAGGAGGATGTCCCTTTTCTGCTTTCAATCAAGTTTTTGAAGGAAGTGCAAGCGGTGGTAGATCTTTTTCAGAATCAGCTTGAGATGCGTCGCTTCAACAACAAGACTCCTCTTATTCATCTTCCTTCAGGGCACGTTGCGGTTGATGTTATGCAATTTTCTGCAGGTGGTTGGATTGTTCCCACAGATGCTCCCATGTCGTCTCAGAAGAACTCAGACTTTCGCTTCATGACTGCAGCCTCCTTTAGCAACTCAGCCTTCATGTTGACGGAAACTTTGCCTGACAAGTTTCAAGCTCACGATCTCTCAGTGAATGGATCTGCTCAGCCGTGCGATGAGGATCGATGCTGGCCACGATATGGGCCGGCGTGCACAGGGCGGAGGAAGTCGAGACTCCGCTCGAGCAGTCAGCAACTGGAGGAAGGTCATGGATCGAGTGGCAGATCTTATGGAGGTGGCAAGAGCTCAAGCCAGGGTTTCCAGTTGGCAGTCAAGTGGATCCGCCTATGGGTCGCTGTCGCCACCCTCTCACACCATGTCAGCCCGGTACTTGGCACATATGTGGCCAACTCAAGCCAGCCAAGCCCCATCACCAATGAAGAATGTGGAGCAGCAAGTCAAGAGCGAAGCCTATGGGGAGCTCATCAAGCTGGGAGTCTTTCTGGGCATCAGGAAGTGCAAGAACCCGGCCGAAGTGAGCCCAGAGGATTGTGGGCACCCAGTGAACGAGCTGTGTGGAGCTGGCAATCAAAGCATGAGGGAGGTGTGGTGCAAGAGATGCTATGCAAGGTGGATGGTGGATCCGACGGCAATGGACAAGATCTCCAAAAAGGAGCCGCTGATTGTGAACGGCAAGCATTTCCAGTTCCAAGCCAAGGTGACCCTCAAAGAGGCCTCGACTCCCAAGATGAAGAGCCCCCCCATGCCTCGAGAGGTCAGAATGCCCTTGGGACCGCGAAGCTCCGAGGAGTCAGTGAGTGCCATCACGATCACTTCATCGATGATGGGAAGCCCTCGGAAGGAAGTGATGTGCAAATGCGGCCTCAAAGCAACACAACTACAGGTCCGGAAGGAGGGCCCAACCCAAGGACGTCTCTTCTGGAAGTGCACGAAGAGAGTGTGCGACTTCTTCCTATGGGACCCACAGGAACAGGAATGGCTGCAGCAGCAGGCACTACAGGAGAAGGAGGATGCAATTGCAAAGACAATGGAAGCCCAGGAGATGGCGGAGAGGCAGCAACTAGTCCAAGAAGCCATGGACTTTGCCGAGACTCGGCATCATGCTGTATTGGCGGAGGAGCGACAGCAGTTTGCTCAGCAGTTGGAGTGCATGAAGAATCAACTCTGCTGGATGAGCGCAGTGGCAGGAGAGGATCGCATCGGGCAAGTCTTCCAGAGCCCAGAGATGCAGGAGGAAGCAATGAGGCAGGCAAGGATGCTCAGAGCACAGATGGACCAGCAAGCATGCTCGTCCGAAGGGCCACAATGATCCAGGAAGGAGCAAAGAATGAAGGTCTGGTGAGTGGCACAAAGATGGAAACATGGCTTCAGGAGAACGCCCCTCGAGCCTGCATTTTGCAGACAAGCAACGAGTGGGATTTGTGGGCAAGCAAGCAATTTGAGGATTATGAGAAGCCAGAATCTCACCAACAAGCCACTCTGAAGGTATGGTATGAACAGCCCCAGGGTGGCTGGCAGTTTCACCATGGCATTTTGCCCAGTTTTGGGTCCATTCCATCCCGCAAGGCCATTGGCATCTTTGGAGGTCAACTGGATTGGATGGATGGGCTGTACGGACTCGGCGAGGAGCGAGCCTTGTCCCGAGGATGCAGGAAGGGTCTGAACAGAAGCATGGCGACGTTGAAGGTCGCGGAGGTGTACTCACCTCCAAGGGTGTCTCAAGCAGCTGAGGAGTTAGGACATCAGCCCAGTGGAGCCTTTGATCTAAACACTGGATATGACTTGAGCACTAAGAAAGATCGATTGAGATGCTGGAAGCAACTACGAGATGAAGATCCTGACCTGGTGGTTGTATGTCCACCGTGTGGTCCTTTTTCCATTCTCCAAGGTCTCAATCAAAGTCCAGAAGGTCAACGGGTGCTGCAGTTGAAGTTGGCAGAAGGAAGGGAGCACCTCAAGTTTGCGATGCAGGTGTTTGAGTGGCAAGTCCGCCGCAAGAAGCTAGCACTCTTCGAGCACCCATCCACATCGAAGGCATGGAAAGAAGAAGAAGTAGAAAGAGCTTTAAGTCTGCCTGGTGTGGTGAGGATTCGGGCAGATTTGTGTCAGTTTGGCATGGCAGTGAAGGGCAAGCCGAACAAGAAGCCAACTGACTTCATGCTCAACGGCAAGGAGATGGCACGGCGGCTAGAGAGGCGCTGTAAGGGAGAACACGAGCATCAGCAACTGATGGGAGGATTAGCCAAGCTGGCTGAGAAGTACCCACTGAAGCTTTGCCAAGCCATGATCAAAGGTGCTGAAGAAGATCTGGCTGAAGCACTGTGGACATTTGCCACTCAGACCGAGGAAGAAGATGAGAGCGCCGACTTGATGGACGCTTTAGATGAAGAAGTCGAGAAGAGTGGAAGGCAAGACCCCAGCAGCATCCAAATTAGCAAAGCAGCCCTGCGGCCCGATCAACATGATGAGGCCGACCCTGACGAGCCCCCCCCAGGAGACCCAAATCCCCACAGAGCAGTTACTGCACAGGAGAAGGCCCTGGTGCAGAAACTACACAACAACCTTGGACACCCCACCAACCTTGAGTTCAGCAAGGCATTAAGAATGGCCCGAGCAAAGAATGTGGTGTGGCGCTATGTGAAAGAAGGGTTTCAGTGCCCAGTGTGCGCCAAGACCCCTAAGCCAAGAAGTGCTCGCCCTGCACAACTGCCAAAGAACTTTGAGCCATGTAAGACGGTAGGCCTTGACGTGGTCTACTTTCCGGCTTTAGATGTACGAAGCCAACGTCCAGTCCTCAACATGGTCGACTGGGGCACTGGCTACCAGATGCTAGAACCTCTGTACGCCATGACAGCACAACACATCTGGGAGAAGTTCTATGGCACGTGGGTGCGCACTTTTGGCATCCCTCAAGTGGTGATAGTAGATCAGGGCCGAGAATTCGGCAAGGAGTTTGCAAGCCTTGTGTCGGATTCAGGATCACTATTAAGAGTGATCGGTGCTAGAGCGCCATGGCAGCAAGGGAAGACGGAGAGACATGGCGGTCTCGCCAAAGAAATCTTTGACAAGGTCAAGGAAGATGTGGTGCCAGCCTCCGACCTTGAGTGGCGCCAATGCATACATGCAGTCGAAGCAGCCAAGAACAGGCTCTTCAACAGGAGTGGGTTCAGTCCAGCACAACGCCAGTTTGGCTACAACATGCGACTCCCTGCAAGTCTTGGATCGGACGATGAGTTTGATCCTGCAATTGTCCTCAACTCAGCCGGCATGGAAATGCAGCGATTGCTGGAAATCAAGCACAAGGCCATGGAGGCATTCATCAAGCAAACAACCTCACGAGCAGTTGCCAAGGCACAACTGGCCAAGCACCGAGTTCCACAAGAATTTGCTGCAGGCGATGTGGTGTACGTATATCGTGTCCCACTTCAGCGAAAGAGAGCCAAGAGCGATGTCAACTTTGAGGACAGAGAGGGACGAAAAGCCACCTGGGTGGGTCCCGGAGTTGTAGTGATGCTGGAAGGTGCCAATGCCTGGTTGTCAATTCGAGGCGAGCTCTGGAAATGTGCCAGGGAGCAGTTGCGTAAGGCAACTCCGGAGGAAGAAGAGGCCAAGTGGATGCTCGATGAGGAGTTCGAAGACCTGAAGATCGAACTCTCTCGGAAGGCCAGCAAACGAGGGTTCAGAGACATCACGGAGTGGGAGAGACCACCTCCGATGATGGAGCATGAAGAAAGTGAGGAGCCCCCCCGGCAAAGACCCCGAATTGAGGAGCCCCAACCCCCAGAAGCCATCGAGAGCGATGGCTACACACCAACGTCTGCAGCAGCAGACCACAGGAGTGGGGAGAGTTCCCACTCTACACAAGAAGAGCCAGCACTAGAACCTCCAGGCCTTGAGCAAGCTGTCGAATCCCACAGGAGGAATGAACAGCTGGATGGCACTCCACTGGCACGGCAGCCAGATCGTCTATATGCCCCCAACCGTGAACTCATGAATCGAGTTCGACAAGGGAGATGGAACCCCTACCAAGGAGGAGCGGCTCCAAATAGGGAGGAGACCGAGGAGCAAGCCTCGGATGATGAAGAAAAAGGGGACAACGATCTATGGCTGTATGATGAAAAGAGAGGCACAATAGTGAGGATGCACAACATTGAGCGTGCTGTGAAGTTCACTCCCAGTGCGGCAAGAGGATGCCCTATCCCAGTCAGATTTCTGGGATCAACACGCAGAACAATTAAGCAGCATGCAGACGGCAGAATCACAGAAGCAAAGGAAAACTGGAGAAGTGCCATGGGCAAGAAAGCAAGTGAAGAAGGACCCTCCACCTGGTGGGTGGGTTACACAGAGTTCAAGTTGAGAAAAGTTCCCACTGAAGTAAGTCTCATGGTGAAGAGAGGATCCGATGAAGTGCTGGAGAAAGACATTCCAGCAGAGGAGTGGGAGGCCTGGCGAGTCTCCGATGCAGCTGAGTGGAGCAAAGTAGAGGCCACAGGGGCCGTGAAGGTGTTGACTCCCGCAGAATCAAAAGATGTGGAGGAGCAGCTGAGAGATGCCGGTCTGACAGACCGAATTCTTCCTTCAAGAGTGGTAAGAAGGTGGAAGCCGTCAGAGCAGCCAGGCATTCCACCGACTCGCAAGTCACGGTGGTGTGTCAGGGGTGACAAGGATCCTGATCTGTTGGAGCTCTCCAGACATGCTCCAACAGTTACCACCTCCACACTCTCAGTGGTCCTTCAGATCGGCGCAAGCAAAAGATGGAAGAGCGCTGTGGGAGATCTACGCAACGCTTTCATGCAGTCAGACGCCTTGAGGAGGGCAGCTGGACGGCTGTTCTGCCGGCAGCCTACTGGAGGTCTTCCAACCCTCCAACCAGATCAGCTTATAGAGATCCTAGCTAGTGCTTACGGATTGGGAGATGCCCCAGCCCATTGGCGGAGAAGTCTCAAGAAAGTTCTTTTTGAGCTGGGATTCCAACAGTCAAGCATGGATCCATGCGTGTACAAGTGGTTTCTAGGAGGAGAGCTGGCTGGTTTGTTGGTAGTCGAGGTGGATGATTTATTTGCAGTAGGAAACACTGAGTTCTTCAAGGGTCTAGAAGAGTTGCGCAAGCGTTTTCAGTTTGGGAAGTTTGCTTTTCTTCAAGAGCAGATTGAAGGATCATCCTTCAATGGAAGAAGAATTCGACAGAAATCAGATTTTGGTTTTCAGATTGACATGGAGAAGTTTGTGACCGAAAGGTTGGAGACAGTAAAGCTGGAGAGAGGGAGGCTGTCAAACCCAGAGGTTGAAGCGACTGAGGAAGAAAAGAATCTAGTCAGGGCGGCAGTGGGTAGCTTGACATGGGCTGCCAAAGAGGGACGTCCTGACGCGGCAGCCACCGCCAGTCTCACAGCGTCCAATTTGAATCAACTGAGGATCAAAGACATCATCGAGCTCAACAAAGGCATTCAGGCAGTGAAGGAAAGACCAGGGTTGACTTTACAAATCCAAGGGATCCCATTTGAGAAGCTTTGTTGGGGAGTTGTGACTGATGCGAGCTATGCTAACGCTCCAAAGGGCAAGTCACAAGGTGCCTTCGCAGTCATTGCATATGAAGAATCCATGACTAGCACTGGAGAAGGAAAGTGTCACATTTTGCACTGGAGGAGTGGAAAGATCCACAGGGTGGTGAATTCCACTCTCGCTGCTGAGACTCAGTCACTATCTAGAGGATTAGCTGAACTGACTTGGACAGTGACGGTGTTTAACGAATTTGTGACCTATAACTTCAACATGAAAGAGTGGGAGAAGGCACTGAACGAACGACGTCTGAGCGCGCTAGTGAGCGAGGATAGCCAAGAGGAGCTAAAGCGTAGTGTTTGCATAGTAGATGCCAAGTCGTTGTATGATCATCTTTCAAAAGAAACAGTAGGCACGACCTCCGACAAAAGAACTGCATTGGAAATGCAGGTGATTCGGCAGGTACTCAGTGAAACTCACGCCAACATCAAGTGGGTTCCACACCCTAGAATGATCGTAGATGGCTTGACCAAACGTGGTGGAAATCTGAATCCGTTATATGATCTTATTGACACTGGAAGATATCGGCTGTTTGAAGGCAAGAAGAAAGTTTTGGGAGCTGTGAGTTGTCAGCATCTTGCCTTCAACCATGTGCTCTAAGGATTCAGAATCTATCACTGAGGTTCATCCGCGGACGTGACAGCTCGAGGGGCGCATTAGGGCAAAAAGCCGTGCGTCATTTGCGACTTACTTGTGATTTCCCATCTTTGGACTGTTGCCACTGTTGACCGCCAACAATAGGTATCTTGGTTTACTAGAGGGTATCTAGGATTAGCTTTTCACACCGTAGCCATGCTGCCCAGGGATGGAGCGGTAACGCAGCTCTTGGAGTCGTGTCCTCAGCGGTGTCCACTGGGGTTCTTATTGGGGGTTCAAGTTCGGGGTATCAATGGAACTGGAGTGTTACTCAACTAACATAGCTATGGAATGCGATGGAAAAAGATTGGAAACATCAGCATTTTTAATGGGTAGATCGGTAGATCAACTACTGTATAAATGGTGATTTTGAATAGCTATGTTAGTGAATACCAGAGGGTAGACCCATGAATTTTAGGACATGATGGGGATATCATGGAGATACAACCAGCTTGAGTCATCTTGAGTCATCTTAGTCACAAGCCATCCGCTTGGACGGAACTTGAGATATGATCGCCCTGTTGTAATGGCACCAGGCAATGGAAAAATATTCCATAGGAATATCAACTCCTTGATATTCCTAGATTTCCCACTGCCATGTTGCACAGATGCTACCATTGGTTGACATCACACCAGTTCCATATACATCCCAAACCAACAAGACACATCACCAACCATTGCTTGATATTACATCCCATGTTGAGTAGCTACCTATGTCGTATGTTGGTTGGTTGATTCTGAATATTCCTGTTGATCAGAGGTTACAGTTGGAAAGCCAAATCTTTGGCTCTGTCTACTCTTGAAGGTTGCTATATTAAAACATATCAACACTTAGGAGCTGCATACAGTGATTTCCTTTCTTGCCATTTTGGAGATTTCATCGGTCCATAGCTTTTGGGACACAGGGGAAAAACCATCATGATTCATCTGGCAGGCGACCGAGGGGGTAAAACTCAAACCCAGACTTCTGCCAGTTCAATGGGGTAAAGCTATGTAAAACTACGTTAAAATGTGTCAAAATAGCACGCGCAGAGGAATTGTATGGAATTGTCACCATGGTCAAAATACATCAAAATACTCTTTCAACAAAGCACAAGGCAATTCCACAACATCGCATGAACAATCATTGCATGAACACTGTATCAGGTTGATCCAAGATGCTCCTGTGAGAATTCTACCATGGTCGTACATCAGATACAATGCAGTAAACCCAATAACAAACCCGATGAAAGGTCTAGGGATCCACCATGATCCACCCCAACGGTAAATTTAGGGACAGAGTATTGACGGCTTTACCGCCGTTCGAGGAACTGTCCAAACTTGTCCTTCCTGGATGTCGGGCATTGTATGGCGCTAAGATGGGATTGAGGGCAGAGGTATAACCGGGTCGCCTTTTGACCCGCAAGTGGCCGCAGCAAAAAGGGATGGTTTATGTGCCAAGGAAAAGCAGGCCTGTCTACTGTCTATCTGCTCTATATGATATATGATATATATTATATAATATTATATATATACGTGTATAATATGGTATAATACAAACGTATACAATCGTATACACATACTTATTCTTCAACCACACATGTTTGTGCCATAGGGAGAGAGAACAGCGGCTCTCTCGCTCCAGGTTGCCAACTGGTGGAGCCGAGATTGGCACATCCTATCTTGGAGACGGTGGGGGTTGATGCCACAATCTGAGACATCCCCATGTACTCTTTGGGAAGAGATGGTAAGAAGCGGAAATCTGCCACGCGTCTCTGGTTTTGTTCATGTTTTTTGTTTGAAGATGTTTCAAATTGCATAGCAAAATCTCGTGATGACATGCCAGATGTTCAACATGAGTTTTTGGATCGCCGCCAGATTCTCCTCAGCTTTTGCGTCAACCTTCGCGAGTCTGCTGTGGCTGGCCTCTTCGACAATTGTCCCAGATTAAGGCGTGCGAAGGGGTGGGGTTGGCAAATTCGATCACTGTCTGGGAGTGCACTTTTATTCGGTCTTTCGTGGCCTCACAATTGTCTCATCTCTATGTTCTTTTTGGACAATTTTGGGGTTCATCTTCAGAGTTTTTTGAAAGTGTACCACCTGGCAGGTATGTCGAAATTGCTGTATGCATGTTCGATATGACCAAGTTCCAAAGAACGTCCAGCGCTCAGCCGTTGACAGAGCAACAGAGGCTTGAGACGCTACGACTTCCATGCGAACCACAGTCTGGCAATGGATAAGGTGCAGACCGGAATGTACAGTCGTTGTAAATTTCGATTTCTAAAAGATATGTGTAAAGATTTATATAATAAGTATCAATTCCCTTGCCAATTGCCTATTTCCTCTCTTACGAAGGGTCATTTTAATTATTGTTTACCTCCTTTTCCCTGAGCCCCTCCCCTCTCCTTCCACCCGGTCGTAAATACCGTGGTTTTGAACTTTTGAAATATAAAAAATATCGATATTTATAATATAATTTTTCTAAGGATTTTAAAAAGAATAAATATAATTAAATATATAATTTATTTAATAATATTTAATA